ATCCATCATCGCCCACAAAATATACAGTCAATTCACTTTACAGTATATTCTGTGAAGCACTTTGTGATGTCTCAAAGACATGACAAGGCCCTATATCAAAACGAAGGATTATTATCATCCTGGCATCAATTACCTTTCCTGCCACCCTAATCCAATTGTTAATTAACATTTGTGTAAAGAAATACTTCTTAGTTTCTGTCCTTCACCACCTGAATTGGTGCCCTCTCTTTTCTACTGACTTGGTGATTCTGAAATATTTCAATATCTTCAGTGCTGGTCAGCCCTAAAAGATGATCAATGCCTCACAAATATTCCTGAATACTCCTTCCCTCAAAAATGGCATGAATTGATTCACGTGACTGCAAATGCCTTCAGGATTTATGCTGGATTAGGTTGTGATATTAACGATCTCAATTTGACTATTTAAGACAAGTGCGCCAAAGGACCAGAATGCACAAATAGATGAGACACATGATGGACAGCGTGGATTAATGTTTGCAAAACCAGCACTAATGTGCGGTTGAGATCAATCCCATTCAAGGTGTAACACTGAGCATATGTGATCCCTGCACGGCTTCTAAGGTGAGGTACTTATCGTCTGACACTTGCTAATACTGTGCCCAGGGTGGAGGAAATCACATGCATGTGGCCAGGGCTACCCATTCATAGCCAAGTTCTGGGAGGATGTCTTTGAAATCCTTAGTCTGAAGTGCATATTACCATGAACAATTAGGGTAGTACTCTATGAAATTGTCACCCTATGTTAGCCTTATTACCACACAGCAAATAACAATTGCAATTTAGTTTGATCCTTACCGGTAAATAAAGCTATTCACCAAAGCAAGTAGAATAGTACTCTTAGCACATAATGTATGATAGGGAAATAAATCGAATAATAATAATACTTGTCTATGATAAACTTAATGACGTCAAAATATCTCAAAGCACTTCACGGGAACTGTGTATTTATAGGCAACCCTAGTAATCAATTTTCAAGCCGCAAGTGTCACATATCAAAATATAAATTTAACTGAAGGAATTTTGGCCAAGATGCCAGGAAACTCCCTTCTCTTTTCAAGTAGTAGATGAGATCTTCAAAGTCCGTTTCCAAAGGCAGGCAGCTCCTTAACTGAACTTCAATCATATAGCACTTCCAACAATGCACTAATGCCCCAGTAAGGCACTGAAGTATCAACCATTGTCAAATACTGTAGACTCGGGTCAAACTTGATTTCAAGTGAAAATTACAATTTATAAAAATATAATCACTGGAAAGATTTCATGGGACCAATTCATACATCACAATCTCTGATTTTATGCTAGCTTTTGGTTGTTTGCAGCTGTTACCACTGTCATGCTTTCTGTTGGGAAGCATTGTGTCATTAAAGACCGTCTGTTCTTTGCTCATAGTAAACTAGGAAAATAATCAATAGTAAGGTGAGTGAGGTGATGTCTTTTTACTGAGTATAGACATCACCTTGTGTAATCGTGCATGTTAGGTAGTAAATTATAGCATTTTTGGTAGGAATTCATTTTTGCCAAGCATGCAGAATAAACAGGCTCATGTGTAAATCATGCTTCTGATACCACCTGGAAGAAATGGTTTCAAGAGCTGTATAATTCGTACCTGAGCAGTATAAGTGCAATAGGTGTAAATTTCACTTTGCTTGCTCCAATTCTCCTTTTAAAACCGTCACAACATCCAGGGAACCAGCTTTTTTGGAATAATGTCTTAAAATACGATTTTGGGTGTACTGCATATGCACCAGGTGTGCACGAAAAGAAAGGCAAAATCAAGTAATTTTCAGCCTGTGAAGCAGACAATATAAACCTGCTTCCTGTTGCAGATTGCTTTATTACCTGGAGCAAATTAGATTCACATCTAGTAGTATAATTGTAGCATAACCTTTCATGCTCCCTTTGTAGCTTTGAAGATAGCATTAGGCGTAATAAGTTGGAATGCATTCCCAAAGGTCATCCGAGATGACACAGACGTTTAATTTTATTTCTGTCATTATTTGTACACTGCTCATAAAATCCCATTCCATTTTATGCACTGGGATTGCCACCTATATTCTGTAACTAAACAACTATTTCAATTTTGATATTACTATGTTTTTATTGGAAACTATTCTGTTATTTTACATTCAACGCTGCTGCTCTACAATTCAATAGTGTGTTTTAAAGATTAACATTAAGGGGGGGGGGGTAACTCACTGTGAACAGCAATTAAAATGGCACTTATTCTAAAGATTTGTTTTTAATGATGTGACTTCTTAAAGACTCACATAAATGCCTCTTGCCAATAAAAATGTGTGACTTGTTGTCAGGCCTGTGCAAACAATGGTATAAAACCCAGTGTCGGTACATAGGGGATAAAAGAAAAATTCAGGGTGATCCTTTTTCTAATTATTCCTCACGGGGAGGGGGGGGTAATTCTTACACAATGCTCTAATGTACAAGAAACAAAACATTCAAATGGCCATTGTCTCCCGGCTGAGGATTTCAACAGCCAAACTGTCCGGCACGAAGAAACTGCTATTATATTGTTTAATAGGAAAGTTTGCAGCAAATGTAACATAATAATCCTTTTATTTGATATCTCTTCCAATCCATTTTTTTGCATAATAGTGTTACAAATATAAAATGTACGTTTTTTTAATATAAAATGTGTTTTGACGGAAAGAGGATATTTGTCACTAGGGGTTGTTACAGTGAGATTGTTTCATTTCGATACTTTTTTAAAAAAATGACTCATATGACCCACTCTTTTTTTTAAAAAATCTGTCTGGTTAATATCAGTTGGGCGTGCAATTATAGGGACCTTGAGTTGGTTACATTTGTTATGATTTATCTCGAACTAAATCAGCTTCTAGCTCATTCCTTTGGATCAGAAGTCTTACTCCTAACATTTCATTGAGGACAGTTCAAGTGTACACAAACATCCGTGAAGGGTTTTGGGGAAACATTCAGCACTGTGGTTACAGTAAATAAACTAATCAAAGGACTTCAGCCTTCCTGCCCCCATTCTGTGAAACTCCATCTCTGGAGTGGTGGAGACAGGTTTTGCAACAGGGTGGGGGGCAGGGGATGGGGTCATAAGTGGCACCAACTTCCCATTACTCTCCACGCTGTCTCATATCTCCTGCTCAGGCTCTCTTCCTGTCACTCTATGTGCTGCTTCATACTTCCCACTCCATCTCTTTTACGGGTACTCCCCACACTGCCTCGTACAACTTCGTGAGAGGCAGTGCAGAGAGTGACGGTATGTCAAACGTATGAGAGGCGTATGTTTGAGGGAGTATGGAAAGAGGCAGTACAGAGAGAGATGAGAGGCACCGGACATACATCAAAAGGCCACCAGGGGGCAGTCCATCTCCCCAACCCCCCACCCCACCACCCCCAATTACCTCCGCCACTGCCTGAGCCCCTCTGACTCGCCCCCCCCTTCACCTTGTTCAAGGTCCGTCTCAAGATGACAACAACAGATTGCATCTACATTGTGCCTTTCCCCGTCGGGGGGACTTTTTGGTTATCTTTCCCCTGCCTACCCCCCTGGGGATACCACCAGACCAGGTGCGCAGCTAGTATCAGTTAAGAAACTTTGGGACATCCTCCCGACATGACAGATGCCACATAAATGAAAATTTGAATTGTGTGGGTAAATAAAGCTTTACGATTCTTAGGTATCTTAGGGATTATTTTGGGGGGGGAGGGGGGGGGGGCGGGTCGACCGGCAACACATGCAGAAACCCATCACCGCACTTAAGAGTATCATTAACGTCCCTTGAGGCGAAGTTCATAAAGGAGTGGTGGGGGTGGGGGGAAGTGAGCAGAATGACGCAAGATGTTCCAGAGGAAATGACTGGCCTTTGAGTTCAATCACATGATGACACAACCCAAACCTTCGAGAGTTGCATTACAACCATCCGAACCCGAAATGGCGTGGATGGAATCAGCGGCTCGCGAGCTTTGGTTCGGTGGAATCGAGTGGGGTCGGGTGGGGTGGGGGTGGTGGTGGTGGTGGGGCGGGGGGTGGGGGGGTGGGGTTAGAGAGAAAGCAAAAAATAAAGCAGGAATATCTCAATCCATTAACCATTGAGCCCTTCTCTCAAAAGAAATAAGTTATGCATTACACGTAACGTTGCAGCAAACGTTTATTTTCTATCACATTGTTTCCCTGTTTTCCCTGAACGTGTGACTGTGATGTCTGTGTGGGTGGTGTGGGTGGGGGTGGGTTTGTGGGGGTGGGAGGGAGGGAGGGAGGGAGAGGGGGGGGGGGGTTGATATATAGGGATACAATGTTTCCCTGCAAAAATACTGCATTGTTTCCCTGTCTGGTTCGAATCAGTTTGGTGCCCAATCGCCAGGACCTTGGGTTGGGTTTGTTACAATTCGTGGTGATTTATCTCCAGATGCCCGACTTTTGTAGCGTTCGTTGCACAACATTTACCCCCCAATCTTTTGTGTCATTTTTTGGGTTTTTTTTTAAAAAAAGACCCCATTCACTTACACAGCTTTTCCACGAACCTCATTCACAGAAGACAGACCCAGAGGGGGGGGGGGGAGGGGGGGAGGAGAGGGTGGGGGGGAGGGGGGGAGGAGGGGGTGGGGGGGGGGGAGGGGGGGGATGTTTCGTGCTGTTTACTCACCGTCAAAGCACTCACAGCCCCAGAGACACGATGCAGTGAATAACCCACACACACACACACACACACACATATATATATATATATATATATATGTGTATATATTAAAATAAAACAACCCATTGCAATGCAGAGTTTTTTATGCTATTTCGATCGAGGCTTTGTTTACAAACATTGCAATATATACGTAAATTTGCAATATGTAGTTTTAATGCACAACCCGAAGGGAGAAGGAGAGGAGGGGGTGAGGCTGGACTTGCGGATGTGGCCAATGGCGACTCCAGTCATTGCCACTCCCTTCGGTGTCAGTCCCTTCTTATAAAGCGATGCCTTTCCCAACCCCTTCCACCAGTCAAACACACGCGGGGACAGAGGGTGGACTGACTGCATCGACACAGCAACAAATAAAATACATAGCAAAAAAAAATAACCCCCCACCCCCACAAAAAAAAAATACCCTTCCGTGGATTATACCAATAGATAGTCTACACTTATTGGCATCTGATCTTCAACCGACCACATCTCTCGAAATTGGATTGAAAGCGAATTAGCCATCAACCCCACACCCCCACCCCCCCATCCATTCAATATTTATTAATCTTTTCTGCCCTTTTTTGTTGTTTCCTTCCACCACCACCACTGTGACTACTTGGATCCGAACCCCAAGTTAGGATTTAATACATCCCAAACAATCACTGCGAAGGATCAGAGAAGATCAACGCCTGGAAAAGGAGGGAGGAGAGAGGTAAAAAGTGTTTCCATCTATTGTGGGCTCAGACTATATTGTATTCAGCGCAGGATTTTTTTTGTGTGTGATCACCATTCAGCTGAATTTTTTCCAACTAATACCTTTGCATCTGCAGCTTAAACAGAGAGCGATGATGCAATGATACATTTCCTCCTCTCCTCCTCTTCCCCCTCCTTTTAGAATTTCACCTCTGTGATCCTCTGGTGTTTGCCTTTTAAATGATTTTGGACGTGGTCGCATTTCTCTTTTATTTTTTTTTATTTTTTTTTTTTTTTGGGGGGGTGGGGGGGAGATTTCATGTACCTGCCTCGGTTTTTATCGATCGTCGCTTTTATTCGTCGATGCAGCAAAAAAAAATGTTGTAGATATCACGATTCCCTTCCAACCATTGCATGTAACGTGCAGATTCTCCATTCCAAGGAGAAAGGCAATGGGATCTATTTCTCTCTCTCTCTCTCTCTCTCTCTCTGTGTGTGTCTCTCTCTTTCTTTGATCCTGGTGATTTTCGTTTTTTTTATAAGCATTTTCCAACTGATAGCTATACATCCAGAACAAAGGATCCCTCAAGAAAAAAAACACACACAAACTCAAATGAAAGAGGAAGCTGATGCAATGAGCAACTGGATACATCTGATCAATGGGTCTGGGTTTGCTGACTGTTCAGCCACTAAAGAAAGGTGGATGTAACTATTTCAACGGTGTCTATTTCCTAGAATCCATTGATACCTTTCGGATGTAAATATTTTTAGGGGCTTTTGTTTTTGCACATCATTGTGGCCACATTGTGGCCTCTTGTCCTGATGCTAAGATGTTTACGTTGGGATGGCATTGTTAGTGAGGGGCTTTTCTTGGCATCACACCCTCTCTCAGTATTTTTCCATTCTGGTATGTGAGTCATTGGCATAGTCAAATGTGGTCACATGTGAAAAAAGGCATAAGGATGTTATGCTCCTGGTTGCTGGGTTATTGATGTTTGGCTGTTTCCTTAGGACCACAGCACAAGGTAGCAGCAGAGCTCAGAAAGAGGACAGATTAGACACACAAAAGAAGAGGGGAGAACTCAACGGAAATTAGAAGTGATTTTCTTCGAAAGAGTTGGCGAAACACCATGACTATAACGGAGATGAACAGATTTAACATAAGTCCTGATGACGACAGCAGCAGCACCAACAGCAATGAATACAACTACACAGAAAATGCCAGCACAAAAAAGGTCCCCATCAATAGGTAAGCCCTGGCTAGACCAACGCAGATAGTGAGAGATGTGAACTTTATTGACGCTAATGTAATAATGATGTTTAGGACATAGTTTGAAATAGCACATATTTTGCAAGGATTTTGACTGCATTAAAATGGGCGCGTGAGTTTAATTAATATTTAAAATCTCTGACCTTTGACTAAATCTTTCTAAAACAAATGATTGTCATTTAGCATAATGAATCGTATCAGTAATTTAATTTATACAGCACAACCATTTTTTTTCTCTCTTACAGTCAATATGTTGACATTGACGCAGAGAGTCAGAATTTTCTGCCAAGTTTATATTATGGGAAGAAGAAATTTGAGGAAGAATATGTAAGTAATGCTTGTCTTATTTTTTTTTCCGTATCGGGGTCAAATAAATTGTGACTGAACCTTCTCGTAAAATAATGTTGTCAATAATTAATTCCAGCAGCTGTGACTATTGCAGCATTTTCTTTATTTATTTATTTCTTTTTTTCTTTATTTATTTATTTTTCTGTCTGCTCTGCAGAGGCCTGGGAATACCTCGTTTGGAATTTCTGCTTTCAACCTCAGCAATGCTATCATGGGGAGTGGGATTCTTGGACTGGCTTATGCCATGGCCAACACTGGAATTGTACTTTTTGTGTAAGTATTTTTGTGATCCGACAAAACAAAAAGCACGTGCTTTGCAAGATGCAGTTCTTAACCTGCTGACACTGCAGTGCAGTACTTACTGCAGCAGAGCCTGATGCAGTCCTGTATTAGCTGCCGTACCTACTGTATAATCACGTGCCAAGGGGAAGGAGACTGGCGTAGTTTTTTTTTAGTACTATAGTATTTTAAATTATGAGCTATTGGTACACAGCAATTTGAACGAGCAAGCGTACAGTTAGAATGTAGATGCAGATATACATGCTAACTGTTTCTCTGGCTAATATACTGTAGAAGATTGTGAGCTGTGATCAGTTTACAAGGTGGAATCAAATGCTGGCAGCTTAGCACAGATAGAAGGAAAATGTGTAATAGCCTCCTCATTATTGCCATTTGCACACAATGATCTAAATAACAGATTTCAATGTATCGATGATGAGGCATCTTTTTAATTTTGGCTAACCAAATGTTAGTCTTCGTGCTTCAAAGTTATTTTTCAAGCAATATTTTAACAATTATAGGTTACCAATGTAAAGGTGGTTAATGGTCACACCCATTTGCATTGTAAAATTGAGTAGAAGGAAGGTAAAACGGTCTAAACTAGACTGCTTTTTGAGTACACGTGAACATTATTTTGTGAGTAGGTCTCAGGATCTTTCATATTTGTGCTTATTTGTTGCTCATTTAAAATGATCTTGAGTATTTGTGCAAGATGAGTTGAAAGACTCTTGCATTGTTTTCAGTAGTGTGTGTTTACAAACAATGCACACAGTAGTAACCAGCTGCATTCACTAGAATCTCTTTAATCCAGTTTAAGCGGCTCAGGCTCTCTACTCATTAATGTTATATAAATTCTTTGGCACAGATTTGAATGATTCTGCAGCAGATTATACTATAGAAGTGTATTTGTCATGTGAAATTGAGAGCATCTAGCCAGTGGCAAAAATGATACGTGACTCTGTGCGCGTGGAAAGGAATGCAGATTGCAGTGGGAGAATCCGGCAGAAAGCCATTTGAAGTGTGCAGGAACATAAACGAAATGTCAAGTCACTGAGGTGGCTGTGAGAGATGATGCTAAAAGGAAGGAACATGATTACACAGCAATCTCTTTGTATTATATATCTGGTATGATTGGAAATTAAAATGCTTTGCTTGTGTTGAATAATTATCCTTTCTACAGCAAGCAAGTTGCTTCCAGGGTGTAATGTCTCAACTTCTCATGATCATGTGACAGTTAACCATCCACATAGTGATAGTCCCGAGTCGTTCAGTGTTTGTTTCCCAGAGTCACTAAAATAACTAATTGTTCTTATTGTTATCACTGAAACCAGTGCAAAGAAACACAACAGTGTTTGGCGAGCTGTTTGTTGATTAATCCAGCAAATAACTCGCCACTAAAAGTGTCAAACACTCTTTAAACAACAAGGTGTCTAAAATAAAGAAAATATGTTCAAAATTCAAACTGCTTTGTTTTTGTTTCTTAAATACTTTGCAGTTATGGAACAAAGTAGTAATCCTGCAAAGCAAGAATGAGATCATTTGAAAGCTTGGGATATGAACAGTAGTTACTAAGAAAGCAGCAAAGCAACATTTTGGGAAATGGGTTGTTAAAGGAACAGTTATACTTTCTGAGATATCTGCAGTGCAGTTCTATTGATTCTGAGGATTAAAGTATTTATAAAAGTATGCCGAATAAGGAAGATAGTCAGACTGAATGTTGTATTTCCCTGCACTAGTTTTAGTGACAACAGTATGGGAAATCAGTTATTTTAGTGACTGTAAAATGTGCTGAAATCTAGCTTTCACAACGATGTAATAGTATAAGAAGAAACCAGATGTAGGAAGTGGTTTATTTCCCCTATACAAAAATCCCTTCTATCTGGGAGATTGAAAGTTCCTTGAATGAATAATGATTTTTATTGAATATCCTTCATGAGAACAGACAATGAGTTCTAAACATTCCTGCTTAAAATATTGTGATTTGAAAAAGAGATGGGCTGAAAGGAAGTAACTGCAGTTTGTGAAACTCGGTTCTGCATGAAATAACTCAGCAGTTTGTGCCACCACATTGAGATAGAATATCGTTTCATTATTACGATAACAGTTTCAAATCCATTTTAAATCCCTTTACGTTGGGCAAGTTTCTTTACTCCACATGCCTCTGTTTACCTAGCAGTAAGAAGGAACCCTTTGGTAGTTGATTGGCGGATTCTTTTCTGGGGGTAATAATTTGTTCAAAAAATAATAATGATAAATTGGTCAATTAATCCATGACTATTTGTGAGACACTGCTATGCACAATTGGCTGCTGCATTTCTCCCACAAAATATACAGTCAATTCACTTCACAGTATATTCTGTGAAGCTCTTTGAGATATCTGGAAGGTGTGATAAGTCGCTATATCAAATGCAAGAAATATTATTATTTATTATTAATTACAGAAAAGCATTAATGGTTCAGACAATCTTATATTATTGGATCCTGTTGTTGGTCAATACCCCAAACTTTGAGTATTTGGGTTACAATACAAATTAAGCTGAAAGTATAATTGTAAGATATTCATTGTATTTCACAGTCTTTTTTAATAATACTGTCATAATATCACTACATTTATTTTGTTCTTCCAGGATTCTTTTGTCTGCTGTATCAATATTTTCACTATATTCTGTTCACCTTTTATTGAAGACTTCAAAAGAAGGAGGTAATGAAGAAGTTCTTTATTTAAATGTGACTTTCAGTCTGCAAGTTTTCCATCGTATTTCCTTTGAAATGTTGCTTATTAATATTGTTTCCCCTCCCCAGGTTCACTGTTATACGAACAACTGGGACAAAGAGCATTTGGAATGCCTGGAAAGGTTGCAGCTTCTGTTTCAATTACAATGCAAAATTTTGGAGGTAAACTTCAGTTATAAATTTAAAAGATGATTTGAATACTAAACTGACAACTTCTCTAACGTGAATGCTTTTGGATTTAATATCGTGCGGCAGGCAGCCATCATATGTAAACACTTGTTCGTACTTTTCTAATTGCAGCTATGTCAAGCTACCTCTATATCGTGAAATATGAACTACCATTAGTTATTCTTGCTTTCCTGAACCTCACAGAAAATACTGGGTACGTTGAACTACTGAACATTGAACTTAGAACTTTTATACATTTCATTCAGAACGTGTCCACTACATGGTTCACATTTTCTAGAAATATGAACCTTAAAATGATTCTTTCCACTGCTAGTAATTGTCACTGAAGTTAAAGGTGCCATTTGTCAGATTGTAAGCAGTTTTGGAAGCTTAAGACTGGACCATTTTTATTTCCTCAGAGGTTAGCTCAGAAGGTGTTTAGTCTTACATTGCACGTGGAGTCCTGTAGCTCAGTGGTTAGAGCACTCACTTTGCAAGCGTGAGACCTGGGTTTGATTCCCAGCAGGGTGAAACTTTGGGCAAGTTTCCTTACTCCACACGCCTGATGATAATACCTCAAAAAAACAATAATGGTCATTTCAATCTGCGACTGTTTGTGGGACACTGCTGTGCGCAATTGGCTGCCGCATTTCGCCCATAAATATACAGTCAATTCATTTTACAGTCTATTCTGTGAAGCGCTTTGAGACGTCTAGAAGACATGAAAAGCGCTATATCAAATGCAAGGATTATTATTATTACTTTGTTTGGTAAACAGGGTATTGAAATCGGATTAGTATTCACAATTTTTTTTCAAACTAAAGTACTGGAGTAAAAGTAATTGGAGTCAATTCATTGTCTCAAAAACCACAGCCACCCATAAATTTGATATCACAGAACAACTAGTCAGGTGTATTTGAAGATTTATGTGTGCTTAGGTGAAACTCATCAAAGGTATGTGTAGAAAATCCAATCTGTACTTAAAAAAAAGTCCATAGGTGTCTGAAATAAAATGACTAAAAACATCACACGGGAAAATTAAGTATAGAAAATTCAACGCCATTCAGTGGAAAGATATGTGCATATTGCCCTCTTAAAATCACCCAGCGTTCTGGGGGTTGATGTCAAAATATGTTTTTAAATGGTTTGGGATTTTTCTAAACCACAGATAATAATAATAATCCTTGCATTTGATATAGCAGCTTTCACTTCGTTGAGACGTCTCAAAGTGCTTCACAGTATATACCGTAAAGTGGATTGATATTGTAAAGTTGATTGTGGGTGAAACGTGGCGTGTAACCAATTGGAACTGTTGCAGGAATGAACAAATGAAACTTTAATCTTCTGATACGTATCTGAAAGAAGAGCTGGGCCTTTTCTATGTTTACTTTTCTGTAACAAGTGAGGTGGAGCCTTTGAGCTGCTCAGAGATTGGTTTAAAACTTATTTTTCAAGTTTATTCCACTTGGCCTCAGATGTTGCGCAGCTAAAGAGTGTTCATATGAAACCGGTTTCATTGTCAACACTCCAAATGTTTTTTTGTTCCAGTATGCGTACAGACTGGTTTTATCCAGTTCCGTTTTCAGTCTTTACCAGAACTAAAACTAGTTTTTTTGGGGGGCGGGGGAGGGAAATGAATGTAAATAGTGTTATCCATTCCTGTTACAGCAATGGACAAGGAAACCTCTGCTGTTGGATACAATCAAAGACCTATAGCATTTTTTTGTTTCTTTTTCAGACATTGGTATCTGAATGGTGATTGGTTGGTTATCATAGTGTCAATCGTTCTGATCCTGCCTTTGTCTCTCCTAAAGAATTTAGGTAAGTGAAATTATGCCCTGTCATTATTACGGAGCTATTTATGTCAGGATATGCTTGTGGAATCTACAGTACTAAATGCTGAGTTGTGCAGCAAGATAATAGCCGGGATATGACATCAATAACCAATCCTTGTGCTTGAGCGTATTTCATTTTATTTGTTCAGGATAGATAGTCAAGTAAGAATCACATGCTAAACAATTGACATTTATGTCTGGAGGATGCCCCAAAGTGATTGACAGTGTTGATCTGGGGTTAACTTGGGGTAAACTTCCACATGTATGCGGATGACACCCAAAACGTCTTCTCTTCAACCGGCTGCGACTCCAGGTCCACTGGTGTTCCATCAGCTTGTCTGTCAGACATCAAGTCCTGAATAAGCACAAACTTTCTGCAGTGGAGCGTTGACAAGAAACAAGCCATACTCCTTGGTCCCCTTCAATGTCTTCTCTCCTGTGGCTCTGACCGCCTCAACCTTCCTGCCTGGCCTTTCCCTAAGACCTACTAAAACTTTCGTCCACATTTTCGTCATCTCCCACCTCAACTATTCCAAGGCCCTTCTCGCTACCTCCACTCGGCTGGCACTGGGCCTCCTGCTCCTCCCCTCCATCCCACCATCGACAGCCGTGCTTTCAGCCACTATGCCCAAAGCTTTGGAACTCTCTCCCTCAATCCCTCCACCATGCCCCCTCCTTCCCCTCTTTTAGATCACGACTGAAGACCTTCCTCTTCGACCTTCCTTACGGTTCTGGGTTAGGCTCTGCCACTTAAGCGTTCTGAGCCACTGCCCTGCATGAAGAATACTATATAGGTGCAAGTTGTCATTGTTGATGTTGCTGATCTAATACTGCTGGCGTGTATTCTTACAAGTCTTGTGTTTTATATTACAGGGTACCTGGGCTATACCAGTGGTCTGTCTCTTCTTTGCATGGTCTTCTTTATGATAGTTGTAAGTATAAAAGTTAGATTTATTGTTGTAATACACTAAATACATTAAATTATACATTGTAATACATTAAATGCTGGTCCACGTTACAAATAGCTTATTGTCTTTGACTAACAGGATATTTTTGTTGTATCAATAGCATTGGACATTTGTGTTTAAGAGACATCGCTGTATCAAGCATTAAGACAATAGAGGCAGATCCCTCCGTATTTGTTTCTGTTGGAGAATAAATAAATGACTTGCTATTGATATGCATAAGATGTTGTTATCTAATTGTGAAATAACTATTGGAGCAGTCATGTTTATCTGTCCTTTTTGGCAAAAGTAAGATAAAGACAGAACATATGATAACAACTGTAAATAGTCATTTTTTGCTTCCGTAAAAATGTGATCCAAACTTTTGGTCCTCGTCCAACAAATATTTGTAAGCTGAGAATAGACAACGTACGGCTCAGAATTCATCACATGTTGCCCTTACTCGGAGCCATTTATGAGAATCAATGTAAGTAGGGAAACTATTTTGACCACTCTATGAATATTTGCAGGTAATCCACAAGAGCTACCATATCCCTTGTCCATTGCCACAACTGGATGAAGACTTAATAAATGGAACAGTGAATAGCACAATAATGATTGGTAGTTTTACCTATGAAGCAATTACAAGTGATCCTCTGGCCAGTGCATTACATAATGCAACTGATCTGGATATGTGCAAACCAAAGTACTTTATCTTCAATTCACAGGTATGTATAAGTACAGTACATTTTTCCACCAATTAGCATTGTGTGATATTGCAGTATAGTTCAACACCAATAAGTCCATCATCATCAAATGATATTTCTGATTTGTAATCATGATATTCTTTACCTGTTTTTAATGGGAAATAAATGTATTTGAGGAGCATGTTCCCTGATACCAGTTAATTAGGATTTTGAGAAATATGTTATATTTTTGTTGACCTTTGTGTTCTGTTTTGCCTTTCAGACTGTTTACGCTGTACCAATTCTGACCTTTGCATTTGTGTGTCACCCAGCTGTACTGCCCATCTATGAAGAACTCAAAGAGTAAGAACACTTTATTGAGTCTGAATTCAGTCCATTCAAGAACTAATTAAATGTTCCTTCCTCTCTCTTGAGGCTTGACAAGCATTAACATTCATGAAATGTAGGTCCATTGGATTGTGGGATACAATACTCAGCAGTAAATTTTTCACTGTCTCTGGAAGTGTTGAATTGATAAATCCAGTGTGTTAGCAGACTGAAATAAATCTTCACCATTTTTATCTGCCTGATACATTATATACAGTATTAATGTTGTTTTTCATTGTTCAAATACTGTTTTATGAATCAAGCTGCTTTTTTTCTTTTCAGCCGTTCACGTAAGAAAATGCAGAGGGTTGCCAATGTTTCATTCTTGGGTATTTTTGTCATGTACCTGTTGGCTGCTGTCTTTGGTTACCTGACATTCTATGGTAAGTTTTTTTTTTAAATTTCCACCTGGGTTTAGATTTATTCTGTTTATGTGGCATTTTAGAACATCCCAAATTTGGGAAATTCTTAAATACAGTCTTATTTTTGAAGTCAGTGGTCTATAAGTGCTTTTGAGAACTACAGAAATCCAACTTCAAAGTTAAGACTGCATTGAATGATTTACCAAATTAAAGGAAATCTGAAATGTTGGAATCAATGTGAGACTGTCTTTAGAAAGCTTTAATGGTTATTATAAGTATATGTTGTAGTTTAAAAGGTCTGTGTATTTCATTTTGATTTAAGTAAGGCATGTAAAAGTATTAAGAGGCTTAGAGTTAGCATTTTTCAATTGTAGAATCTTGTTTTAAGAATTGTTCTAATGTTAACTTTTAATGTTTTGATTTTTAAAAAGTGGTATTTTGCTAAATGCATGGTAAGGCAAACTAGCGGACATGATTACAAAGTAGCAAGCAAATTTAAAAACAGATTGCTTAGAATATAACATTCTTGAAACCTTAGTGACATCAAACTAATATGCAAATGATCTTTTGAATGCTAATATATGAATATATCTTTCAAAATTAAGCCAAGTCAAAAACTGTTGTGAATGACGGAAGTTATTCTCTGCAATTCAAAAAAAANCCACCGGAATGTTTGAAGATTCAAAACTATATTTTTTTAGCAAAGTTGATCCAGTAGAAGCTAATTTTCTTTCTTTTATACAGGACATGTTGAGCCAGAGCTGCTTCATACATATTCAAAGGTGTACAAGTTTGATACTGTCCTCCTCGTTGTCCGTTTGGCAGTACTCATGGCTGTAACATTGACTGTTCCTGTTGTTCTGTTTCCCGTAAGTACAACCAGTAAGAGGAAGTTGCTTTATCTTTTCCTGTAACAGTCATTGGATGCTGGTTAGTTAGATATTCTAACTGCCAAAATTCTCAAAATATGACTTTTATATACAATTCGAAAATATTCTATTGCTTGACGAATTACTGCATCCGCACTTATCGGCTTCATTGAATTCTGCATACGCAGTGTAGATTATTGATTAATTGGATTTTATATGACTTATAGAGTTTGCCTGCGACTCAGACTTCACGTAAATTGCTTAAATGTTATGGTCTGACTGATAAGACTTGTGCGAGATTTACGGTAGCACTCTTCAATTGCCTTGTGACATTTTTTTTCCACATTTGCCTGGCCTGACTGAAATTACGAATTGAGTGCTAAATTTTGGATAGCTACGAACTGCAGTTAGATCCTCTAGGAATTGGATTGAGACTAATCAAATTCATCTTACTTAGGACTGAATTGTGTCAGAGCTAGATTCAAACCCAGTTGTAGAGGTAAAAGAATAGTTCTAATCCATGGCATCACCCAATCTTCATTTACAAATCTAGTCATATTTGAAGCATTACACGTTTGTGTTTGATCTAATTTATATATTGCTTTTTTGAGCAGAGCATTTAGCGTATCTGTTTATAGTTTAAACATATGCAGTGCAGAATGAAGCAGTCTTATATTGTTAACCTTTTCCCACAGATCCGTACTTCTGTTCAACAGTTGTTATTTCCTAGCAAAGAATTCAATTGGGTACGTCACTCTCTAATCACCGTAATAATTCTGGGTCTCGCCAATTGCCTGGTGATCTTTGTTCCTACCATCCGAGACATCTTTGGATTCATGGGTAAGTGTGTGCATGATATTTGCCTTTGAATTGTCACTCTATTTTCATTATTTTTGTCGAACAAACAACTACATGAACTTATTTGAACATTTCCTTCTGGTTTCTGTAGGTGCCTCTGCTGCTGCTATGCTGATCTTCATCCTTCCCTCTGCATTCTACATCAAACTTGTGAAAAAGAGTCTATGAAATCAGTACAGAAAATTGGGGTATGTACTAAAATCAATTCTATTTCTAACTTGAAGTGATTTGAGAATTACTCCTGTATGTTTATGAGAGTAAAAAAATCTTGTAGCCTTTTATTGGTTTATAAAGCAGTGGGAGCCAAATGGGTAGAGAGGGGAGAGATGCATTTATGTAAGTTTAGTGGAATCATTTACAAATCCTGATGTTAATTGATGATAAAGGTATACTAAATTAAAATGCCTTAAAGCTATTTTATTATGTAATAAAAAGATGCAGCAACATTTTGATGAAAAAGTGACCAATGTTTGTTTAGCAGCATTAAGCATGTATTCAAATTTTGTACTAAATGTCTTTCTGTTATTTTTAGGCATTAATTTTTCTCATCTGTGGAATATTTGTTATGATTTCAAGCATGACTCTCATCATTCTCGACTGGATTCACAATGCTTCAACGTCTGAAGGTCACTAAGTCCTCTAAGAGATGAGGCATGTAGTGAGCCAACAGGAGCTGTGTTGTTCATGAATCGTTCTGCCTAAGAACAAAAATAACAATTTTTTGTTTCTGTTTTCTTCACGTTTTCAGTGATTCGGGAAGACAGACTTCAAGGGTTGTAATGCGTTGTGGCAATTTTTTTGTTGCATTCTTAGAATGGGATCTCCCTTTACAAACGCACTGCGTAGATACTGCTGCTGCAAACGGCACATGGTAACTCCCATTATGTTGGTTGCCTTCCCAGAAAATACGTGTTACTTTCCAAAGACTGCTTTCCATAAGCAGATTATGTATTATAACCGTTATGTGGGCTGTGAGCAGTAATAATAATATTGTTCACAGAAGAATTTTTTGTTGGGGGAAATGTGTACAAAATGTATTTATAAAGCCATATTATTGGCAGTCCAAAATATTACAGACCCATCAACAATGTGGGCTTCTTTTTGTTTGTACATACGTGACCTAAATTCCTGTAGATGTGCCTAACTAGTCGATTTACTGTATATTGCTAGATTAAGAGTAGCACTTGATCTTTAAATAATCTTTTTTGATATTTTAAAAAACTACTTGTGGACATAGACTTAACTAGAATATTTAAATTTTATGGCAGTAATTTGAATTTTCAGTTGAGAGTTGTGTTTACTTCAGTTCAGAATGTAATGTTTATGACAATAAAACCTTGACAGAGTTAGAGAACACACAATTAAAAGTTGTTTCTTGTGAACAACCCAACTTTCATCTAGAAGTACTTTAAGGTTCTGTAGTAAACTAACCACAGACACTGTGCTTTAGGGTGCAGTTTAATAATGTGGAGGTCATGGCTTGTCAAGAAACATAGGGGTGATGTTCTGCATGGTGATATGTGCACTAATTTCAGTGTGTACCTCTGATGGGAAGATCTCACTGTAAGTGTACATTGCCAAAGTCAGTAGTAGCAAGAGGAGTATTGCTATCATAGTATCTTGAGGGTACTGATGCGAAGCTGAGTTTCTTTGTTAAACCATACTGTTTTTGGGGTATAATTAATAACTGAATAAAACAACATCTGGAACCCATTTCCTAATTAATCAGCTAATTTAAATAACTTTGAATACATTTTGTATAATATGTTAATTGCAGACTGGACACTTATTCACATCTACCAGTTATTCACATCCCTTCATCGTGTATTATTGAATAATGGGCATCTGCTAGTTTGTCTAGCTCTAGTCAACAGTTTATGGACATGTGGCGTAAGTGCTGGCATTTTATTACTTCTTAATACATGTCAAAGGTACACTTCATACATTGAACTCATTACAAAGTGTCCGAATGACAGTGCTAGCAGAATAATTCCCCTGATGGTAGCCCTAAATTGCCCCTTCAATCTCGCAATTTGTCTGAAAGCAATTAAAAGCGATTGACGTTAAATTTGTGTGATTGGAATAAACACTATGCTACGTTTATTACTTTCATTGTTACAAGATTGTTCAAAAATGAAAAACGCTAACAATATCTAGCTCTCTAATTAATATGTTCCCTTTGTATCCCTTTTATTCTGTTTGCAATTTATCATAGGTGCAGCTAATTCTAAAGCAGTTCTATTGCATTAAGCTGTGAATTCTAATGATTCCTCCCTCACAGCATTCATTCAATTTCTGGAAGCCAACATGAGACAAGTTTGTGTAAAATTACAATGTAAACATGTGAGGTGCTGTCAGTTTGATACTGAACATTTCCAGGTATATATTAAAAAAGTATCGCAGGTAAAAGTGGAACAAGGATCCATAAATCGAGGATTTAATAAATCAGTCTACTTTCTTAGATAATTGTTAAACGTTTAGCACCATCATTTGTTACCCAAGTGATGATGACAATTCACCCTACTGATATTTGGCTTCACAGTGTTAGAGTAATATTCTGGTGTCACCTGGTGTTTCCCTGTTTTACTTGAAGGAAACTTTATATATTGTGCTTCCTATGACCATTCAACCTTCTGTGGTCTGGTTGTTTTTTTAATTTGCTATTGTCATCAAATATTTATAGACCTGGAGAAATCAGTATAACTTAACATATTTATGACGATGTAAATATCAATGTATATAATCTTCCACTGGTTTGGATAATGTGTATATATATGTCAATATTTAAACAGTGATATTGTTCCATGAAGTCCTAATGAGAAGAGTTAATGGCATCGTATCAAAGTCAGTAAATAAAAGATAAGCAATGGCAGTTTTAAGAGCTTCTGCTGATTCAATGGTAGAAGGAGCTTTGTTTCAGTGCTCTGTATTTACTTTATTAAATGTAACTTGTGTAACACAAAATTATCAAGTTTTATAAATGGCATATTCCTGCCATTAACAGTGAATGCACAATGTTTGTAAAGAGTGACTGAGCAATCATAACTTCTGGATTGCTGATAATTGCTGTTAAACAGAACCTCAGTTATTTTGCCATATGAATCGCATGTCATCTGAAGCAAGTGTAATTAAGAATAAATTACAGTTAACAAAGGTCAACAATATTTTTAGAATTTACTGAAACATAAAATGCATATAACTGCTTTTTTAAAAAAATTAAATACGGTAATTCTCATAATGGCTGTTTTAATTCTCTTGAGAAAATGTTACAAAGAGCATTTGGAGTGAATTGTAACTTGCCATTGCAGCTGGAATTTATGTTCCCACAGGATAATCACCAGACCTAAACTAAAAAGCTTGTGTATTCATATTGCTCACATAATTCACTCAAAATATTTGTACCAGTGCAAGCATGCATTAAAGAGAGCCTTGAGAAGCATGAATGCTGTCTTTAGCATACCTTTTGGGTTACTGTGGATAGGATGCTTCCATGTATGTTTTTTCTTGACATTATGTAAAATTGATCTTGTATGTATATTTCTATACCATTAACTGTGAGAGGCTGATCGTGTGGATGATTTTTGTTAGTAAAGACTGCATTACAGTCAGTGTTGCACTGTTGTTTCAATTAAACACTATTGTACTGTGTATATATTGTAAATAAAGTTATACTCTGAGACCATGTTTCATGTATGCAAAAACAACAGAACAATTGTGCTGTGCGTAAGGGTCTAGAGTTGATTAAGAGGATTATTTTGCTTTGAAGTGACAGTGTCATTATGTCAAACAATGAATGAATTGACATACACTTGTTTTAAAACTCCTCAGCTTGTTTTAAAACTCCTCGGTGCATTTTTTAAAACCGCAACAATAAGGCTTCAATTTACAGAAGGGCGATTAACTGATTATTCTGTTGTGAATTTAACAGGAACAAACACTTCTACATCAGTTACAACTAATATTTTTTTCATTTGATATAGCGCTATAGTCAGTCTGGCTCAGTTGGTAGCACTCTTTCCTAAGTCAGAAGGTTGTTGGTTCTTGTTCAAGAACCATTGAACCTGTATCAAAAGCAGCAGGAATCTTCTCTGGTGGGAAGCAGATGCCACAATCATTTACTCCCTTCCTTAGTTCAAATGGGCTTCATGATTATTACATTTGACAGAACTAATTTTAGGAAATAAGGACTAATGTGTTGAAAACATTCGGATATATTTTCCTGAGGTTCAGCTTTTGAAAGATTTTTTTTACAATCTACATCCAAATTATACATATTTTCAAACAACTTCTAAATTCGTATTTTTTAGTGACTTCAAAATTAATTATGATCTTGTTGACTGAACTCAAAACTAATGTAGTATTTTCCATTGTTTATTCTAAAGTAGAATACCTCGACTACAAATTTAAATTTAACAGGAAAGGAGCCATCTGCATTAGGTGTTTTTCTCATCTATATTTTTCAAAAAAGGCAAGCAACTACAACAATTTGAATTTATATAGTGCCCTTCAAACTGAAGAATGTTTCAGAGCATTTCAGATGGATGTTACCAGACATCTAACAATGGAGATAAGTGAGAAGAGATTGGATCTAAAGGATCTAAAGACAGAAAGGGGGGGTGACACAGAGGGGTAGAGGGAGGAAGTTCCAAAGGTTGAGGGGGTCACAGAGCATATCATGATAAGGAGTTATATGAAAGGTACATATATTGCATGAGTACCCGATTCTTTTTCAACACTATCGGATCATAGGAGTTTCTTTAGTTTTCTCTTCCAATTTTTTTGCTACCTCTCTCTTCTTTGAGTTGGACAAGGTTACTACATATTCTCTGCAACTACACTCAAGTGACTATTATTATTAATTCAACCATGGGGGGTGTTGGACAACATCTGTGCCCTGTCCTCACTCAACATCTACACCTGCCCCTCCAGCAGGGGTCTCCAGAGGGCAATCGGGAACAGAAACCTTGTCTTGCTTCCCTTTCCCTAACCCAGGAGCAATGAAGTCAAGTGTAGCGCCTAAAATCCTGTGACTTTCTAGTCTGTGTGCCTTTGGGCTAGATGATGACTTTATTCACTAAGCCACAAGGTCATAGGAGCTTTACCCGAATCAGTTGAATGAAGCCTCAATTTCTCTTTTGGGTGACCTTGTCATTTTGTTTCTTTAGGCTTTTATTTCGGATATGTTTTATGAATACCGATCATAGTTCTGGAATCTTCACAGTCTTTCTTTGGGAACAAGCCAAGAGCATGTGACTTACTTATGCCTCGTGCACGTAGAATTGGAGCGAACAATAAAAAGAACTTGAGACGAAGCATGAACCCGATCTCTTGTAAGAGACTGAAATGCTTTTGACTTCAACAGGAGCTTATTCATGCCCTGCTGCCAAGTCTAATGGAAAGACTGATGCATTACACAAAGCCAACCACACGCACAAGGATCAAATAGGTCAGCCATTACATATTCAATTGGTCTGCAAACTCAAAATATAATTTTCGCTTTTAAATGTTCATTGCATGCTATTTCAGATTGTCTCAGTTTTTATTAATCATTTTACACATTTTCCTTGATTTTAATCTGTAACTTCTTTGGCGAACTCTGTATTCACAAAGCGGTGTATTTAATAATAGCAATAATAATCTTTGCATTTAATATCAGGGTTCATCAATTCATCAGAACATCTCAAAACACTTCACGGGATTTCCTGAAAAGTGCAGTGACTGTGAATTTGTAAGCAAGGGCACCAGTTCATTGCAGTATAAAGGAATAGAGTGATAATTACGGAAAATAATGCCTTTAACAATACCACAATTATAGCTCCATAAAATTTTAATTCTAAAGTATGGATGACTTCCTTATTTCAGGCACAGGAGTGTATCAAACACTCCAAGTTTGGGCGTAGCATGGTTTGGGTATATTTATACTTCAAATTTGGTTCAAATCAAACTGACTAAAATACTCTGAGGCTACCATAAGCCTAGTTACTCTATGAAATGCAATACAGTAAATAATATTGGGGTGAACAGATTTCATATATCACATACTATGAAACGTTGCATTTTTCACCCCATACTGTAGTACAGCTCCTTTTAAAACAAAAGTAAAAGAAACAATTCATCGCAGGAGAAGTGCAGGGAACAGGACAGTGTTATTTTTATTATATTGTACTTTTACTCCCCCTAGTTCATTCAGAAGATATTGGATTCATTTAAAAAGCATCTTGATGCTGTGATGGGAGGACAATTTGATTAATATTCTGGAGGGATGAGATCAGATGGGCCGAGAAACCTTCTTAATCTTGTCATCTTGTAAACTTTGCAGAACATGGTTGCAGGTGTCACACTTGGAGTTATTAAGGTCTTATTATTTATATTGGATGGAATTCCCTTCCAGTCGTACTTCTTGTTTGCTCAGTTCTGCTTTCCTAATCCCTTATACCTGTGTTACCAAACCACACTAGACTTTGAAATATACATAAAAGGTAGGATTATGTTGCATAAAAGTGCATTGTACTGTATTGGATGTTTATCCAGAAAAAGAATATCCCCAACCCAATTTCATAAAGACAACCTTGATCCTGACAGTCAGTTCACATCAGTGCAAAGTAACCGCCATGATTTTTCTTGCTTTCTTGCTATGATTGAAAATTATTATCATCCTCTCAACCCAAATGTGTAATCCACCAATGTGAGTGTGTGTCTACCTGTTTAATAGCCAATACGTTATATAGGCTAGAAGTAGATTTGAATGGAAAACCCCTTTCCACTTTTCATTCTGTATACGTACTTGCAACTAAATGCATGCATAGAGTTTCTCTAAACCATGAGTTAGGTGCTTAATGCTGTCAAAGAGGTAGTCTTTCCCAATGGACCAAATACTTTGGAGGGACCATTTTAAATGGAACCCAAATCAAATCACACATATATTTATAGAATTTATAAAATTTCAGAGTTTAAGAGACCCTGGCACCTGCAGATCAGTGACTGGTGCTTAATGGACTATATTTACCGAGAGGAAACACTAGACCATTGTTAGGATATATTATTGCCATGACATAAAAATATATGAAGCCACCAAATGTGTCAGTATAAACAATGTATACATCAGTTATGTCAGGTGCATGATAATGTGAACACATTTGCAATTGTGTAACAGCCACATCAACAAAAATCCTACCCCATTCAATCCTACAACTAATGCAGTTCCAGTTGACTCTATTCGCTACTATTTGGGGATATGGTTTCTCAAACTCTGACAGCCTTCAGGTAGCTCAGAAGTAGCTATTCTTCATGTGTGACCTAGACAGCCAGTGAACTAGTTAATTACTCCAAACCATAATCATGACCTTACCCAATGTTTACACACAGACACCTACTTCTGAGCAGGAGTTACTGGATAATTTTCACAACTGAGAACCCTGACTGTTTTTTCCCTCTTCCGTATTTTGGACCCTATGGTCAAATGTAGTTCATCCATCATTGACCCAGATGAGATCAGCTAATTCAAGACAGAACAGATATCAAATTTGTCTCATACAGCTCAGCACTACAGTAAATAACACATTTTTTATTGGTGAGCGAGGTTAGGCCAACCCACTCAATTATCCAAATTTGATTGAATGGGTTCCACTAGGGAACGAGGATTGTCCCCACAGACAAGTCCCCAAATCCCCCCCCACCCAACTCTTCTAGGCCCCACCACTGGATTTGCACATCAAATTTTAAAATATAAAGAGCTTTCAACTTCCAAGTGCATTATTACAAACAAAAGTCTATGTCAAGGGTGGCAAATGCGAAGTAAACCATTTGAGCAATCAATTTCAGTTAACAATTCACTTTTTTTCCCCAGGTTGCTTGCCAAAATACCCCCCAGAATACACAGCCAATTCACTTCACGGTAGATCCCGTAAAGAGCTTCGGGACGTCTCAACTATGCGATCACGTGCTACACAAAGAGCAAGAATTGGCATTACTGTCATCCCTCCGGGTGTCCAGCAATGTGTCCACTTCCAATTTGACCGCACGCACGTACGTACGTACGTACTTACGACCACTTCCCCTTTCCGCGCCCGCCCGCCCCGGCTCGGCGGCGTCATGCTCGGTCACCGTCGAGCGCTCTGGGACGCTGGGCCGCTTGAGGAGTGCTACGTAAATGCAAGTTGTTGTTGTTGTTGGTGTGTGTGGGAGAGGGGGACTTGTGCAATGAGTGATAAGGACAGTTGGTGAATGTGTGTGTGTGTGTGTGGGGGCTGTGCTGTCGCGAGAGTTGTTGAGCTGTTGAGAGAGAGAGGAGAGAAGAGAGAGAGAGAGTGGAGTGGAGTCACACAGTGTTGTGTCTGAAGAGTTCCCTCAGCCACATGTCTACTTCTGACCGGGATTTCGCCACGAACATCTCGCAGCTAAATTGACATCCCTCAAAGGGAAGGAGTCGGTCCTTTTTTTTTTCCTCTGGGGGGGTTTTATTTTATTTATTTATTTTTTGTGTGTGTGTGTGTGTGTGTGGGGGGGTTGGAGACACTTCTGCTTTTCGTTAAAAAAAACCTGGGGCTCAAGGTGAGTAACGTGTGTTTATATATATATATATATATATTATATATATATATTATCTGTAGCTATATATAAATATATTATGTGTAGGTAAAACAAGTATTTTTCATTCAAATATATTGATGGAAGGAGTCGCCCGGTTTAGAAGATGCTCCAAATGTAGGTCGAGGGGATGGGGTGACTGTGCGCCTTTTGTCCCCCAAAGTCTCTCCTCCGTTTTTTTTTAAGAGAAAACGTCTTTTAACCATTTTTTTTAGTCCAGTGGACGCACCGCTTTTAACAGATGTCAAGTGTTTGAATTTTAATGCAAATAAATGAAGCGCCTGAGACTTCGAGAGGGTCTGAAACCGTATCTTTTTCAGAAAATAGTTGTCATTCCAGTTGTCTCTCTCTGTAACCCCCCACACCCCCCACCGATGGAGTAAATGACCACTGTTTTTTTTTTGTTTGGGTTTTGTTTTTTGTGGTTTTTTCTCTCTCTTTCTCTCTCTCTTCTCTTTTTTTAGAATTCGTTGTGTGGGTTTTTTTTTGACGTATTTAAGGTAAAGCGGATTTAATTTCGACGGTGGAATTCACGCGGGAACATTGCGTCTTGCGGTTAAAACTGAAACTTAGATCCGTGTTCAGTGGTCACATACTCACTCACTCACTCACTCACTTGACTGTTAGAACAGTAATATATATTGGAGTCGATTTGGCTGAAGTTCTGTTAATTCCCCATTACCTGATCACACAGTAAAATAATACAATACCTGATAACACAGTCAAAATTGCCACATGTCGTGTGTTAACTATCATTGGTAAAAAAAAAAGAAGTGACATTGGGTCACTTAGTGGGGGAAATAGTGGGGGAAAAAACATACAAATTCCCACTCCTCATCACCAACCAGTAACCTTCAGCTACAAATTTTCTTTGGAAGTGCAGCATCGGTGCTAAATGTTCTCGTGCATTTCATGCCGAGTTATGCTGCTCACCGGAAAGCTCACAAGGGCATGAAACCTAGTGAGGGCTCTACAAACCTGGGCTTTTCCAAATCATGACTCACCAGTGACTGTCCGCCTTGGGGACGGTAAGCGGGGTCTCCGGGGGCAAGCAACAGAGGATTGGAATCCTCTTCAAGGCACGACTCAAGACTCCTTTTCGACCGTGCCTTCAGCTGCCCTCCTACCTCCCTGCTCTCCCTCCAACCCTGCACCACCCCCCCCCCCCCCCACGCTCAGGTCCTGATCCCCGACTGTTCAGCGCCTGAGACGTCCTCCTGACGTGAAAGGCGCTTTACAAATGTAATGTTGTTGTTGTTGTGCCTCCGAGGCTCAGGTTAGGGAGTAGAATCAGCCAGGTTCCCTGTAACGAATTGCTAACCAGTGATCTTTGCTGGAAAGTACAAGTGTAGAGTTATCGAATGAAAAGAAAGTACAGAATTGCATCAACCAGCAATTATTTAATGTGAGAAAATATGATAGGAGTGTCAGCCAGACCACATTATTTTCCACCTGTCACAGACACTTTCAATAGTAGAACCCTAGTGCTTGCCCCCCATATTTGAATGATGATGCAACCAAAGATACTCGGCTTTCCTTGATGCTGATCATCGTGAAGTAAATTTGTACCATGATCAAATTACCAATTTGTTTTGGAGCCATGCAGGTTGCCAGGTAGCTGTTTTAGCTGGCTTTACTTCTGGATTTTTCTCATATTTGAAACCCTCATCTTTTAAAGAAGTTTCCAGGTTTTCTCTATTTGTTCAGTTTTTCTTTATGCATTTGATTCTTTCTCTTTGTTTCTTCTCCACGACTTTCCTCTATTATCTGAATGGTATTGTACTGCTAGAGTGGCAGGAGGAGCACTATAATTGGCTTCAGCACCCCTGGTCTTGGACGAGTTACTGGACTGGATTTAGCAACAATGGAATTGCATCCTGTAATAAGTGAAAATTGGAGAATGGAGGAAAAAAATAAACTCTTTGCAGTAAATCCAATGAAGCATTTTGAGACATTTTAACAACAGGATAAGACTATCAAATCCATGGCTTATTATTTTTGAAAGAACACAGCAACACTTCCCAGAACAGCATAACGTCAACATTGAGCTGGCAATTAAAACATCAGTGAAAGCTGTGTGAAGTCTAAAAACAGATGCATTGTGACTGATAATTAAAATACAGTTTTGAGATTCATTCTTGAAACAAATTAAATCTGACCTTGCCCCCACTCTAATACTGTTTGCCAAATTAATAGTACTGATCATTCTGAGCAGGCTCTAATTGATGGTAAATATAGTGGAATATAGATCAGCTACCGTTTTCAAAGTTTAGAATGGAATCATTAGATTTGCATGGATTAAATTGGATTAGTCACTGACACAAATAAGTTATTATTACAAATATGAATCTCTAATGACAATATCTGGGGCATATTAAGACTTCAGTTCAAAATGAATCACTTGCAGCATGAAGTCGGTTTATAGATGATTGCAAAGATAGAATGGAAAATTGTGTACCATGGCAAGAGATTACTTTGGTAGTGTATGAGAGCGTTGCCATGGAAATATGTTTTGTCTGAAGTGCAATGTATGTCATCGTAGCACTCCTCTACACACGTAATTGGAAATTGTACAAATACCAGATTGAACATGCAATGTTCATTTGATTTAAAAGGCAGGATTACCTCAATGTAAACCCTAAGCATACGGGCATCTATCTCCCTACAGTCTTATGAACAACTGGATAGCAATCAAAGTTGAAAATGGTCTTATGTTTTCACAGTCATATTTGGCTGTCATTCAGAGAATTTGAGAAATGTTAATCTAATTGCACACAAAGTGCACTGTCTGAACATGAATTTACATTTAACTACAGATAATTGTTCAGCCTCATCCTTGCATTGATGTTGACAAAGAAATGACAGACTGGTTTGCTGCTGAATCCCATTGTTGTTGCTTTACTAGAATATCCCTAATGCTGGAATATTCCAATATTCCAAAACTATTAAATAGACTGCGTGATATTAAAATTTCCTCGGGTGATATTCCATGTAGTATCCTGAAAAATCCTTGGTTTGGGGTGGTGGGGGAAGGAGGAAGAAAATTGAATGTCTGTTATGATGGATGATTGTCTTCCAAGTATTTGATCGGAATTCCATTCTGCATGACCAAATGCCAGCAAAGCGCAGTGCATTAGATTACGTTTTATTATTTTCTCTTGAATGAGCTGTGCTGAAAATTACAAGAGAGACGCAAAATATATTTTCCCCTCTTATAGAAGCAGCTTACTTTCCCCACATTTTTCCATGTTGTTCTTACCAAAGTTAGGTTTCAACCCTGGCTTCTTAGTTATTTTCTTGAGTGCTCACAAGTACTATAGATAGAAGTGATACCTTTATATAGAAGGATAAGAAGACGCCATTGTATTTACATGCGATTCTCTTTTTAATGCATCTGTTTTCACTGATTACATTTTACTGTTCTGTTTGTACAGGTAAAGATCTTTCATTGGGACCGTGAATAGTTTTGAATATCACTAGTACTTGTTTTACAAGGCTAAATCGGACATTCAAATGAATAATCTGGAAACTGGGTTTATAGCCAAGGTCGCTGAAGAGGATTTAGCAGATTTAGGAAAAGGACCAGTGGACAGGTATGTGATGACAGACTATTAATTTCTGCATGTTATCACTAAAGACATAATAATAATATCAATACAATTGTTATCTGTTTAGTCAACAGAATTTGTGGACTTCCTTTGGCAAGGTAGATATCAGTTATACAAAGTACTTATTTTTAACTCTGTGTAATATTCATCATCACAAAATAAGTGATCAGTTATTGCAGATCCTATTGTAATCCCGCACTCATAATAAGGCATTATTCTGGCTGGGTGGATGAGTTTTGGTGAGAAAGGGAAAAACAGTGAGGCTATATTGGAGCATTGCAGAATTTGCCGGTTACATGCAATGGATGTGAGATTACAAACCAAGAGCTTCCGCCCTGACATTTTTGTGGATGTAGTAAGTCAAAGATTATGTTAGTGAGTCAGTGGTGGAGCTCTACGATATGGTGATTTTGTACATTGGTGGTCACAGCTTTGCCAGTAGCACTGGCAGCTGCCCCTGAGGTTTTTGCTCTCAGATCTTTCAACAACAACTATTTATATTCATATGCCTCTTTTCTCATTGCGAAGACGTCTCAAAGTGCTTCACAAAACTGACTGAGAGCTCAAGCTTGGGGGAGGGGAACTTGGGTGAGCAAGGGGTAAGTTGACAAAAAGTGTGGTCTTCGGGTAGGTTTATAGAGAGGGGTCTTGAGGCAGATTTTGAAGGCAAGGGGCAAAGCAGATAGATGAATTTCCAGGGAATGGGGCTGAATGGCTGAAAAATCATCCACCAATGGTGGGATGGAGTGGGTAGGTAAATTAAGAAGGCTATTGTTTGCTTTAAGGCACCATTAAATCTATGCGCAATTGGCTGCCACGTTTTGCCCACAGAATATACAGCCAATTTACTTTACAGTATATTCTGTGAAGTGCTTTGAGACGTCTTGAAGACGTGAAAAGGCGCTGTATCAAATGCAAAGATTATTATCATTTTATTTGTGGCCATTCCAAATAATGTGGTTAACCTTATCGAAATATGATCATATGACCTGTTCGGATCCACTGTCTAGGATTATATTGAACAGGTACATCAATTGACAAACAGACTGCAGTTTAGAATATGAGGACAAACCCAACATATATAGAGCATCATTAACTCTTTCAATGTAGTTTTGAGACCTTTCTGTACTCAACTGAGGTAAATATTTTATTTGAATAGCAGTGGTTTACTTTTCCTTAATAGCCAGGGGTTGTGTGACAGCTACAAGATAATCTTGAAGACCAGCACCAATTATACTGCCATATTTCATCCTATTATCATCTTGAGTGTCATCTGCTGTCTGATTCAAGGAGCAAACCACATTTTACAGCATAAAACTAAGAATGATGACCCCTTTTCTAACCCAACCTGAGAAATCCTGGCTGAAGGAATGGAACCGAGGAGAGAAGTTTAGATTCTGAGAGTGTTGAGTGTTAATTTATTTTCTGCTGACCAGAGTGGAACATGCCCTCAGAGTGGGAAAGGCAAACTGCAGCTCACCACAATGCTAACTTCTCTTGAAAAGCATGTCAGGCTAGAGGCTGAAATAATCAAATATGTACTGTAATAAGAATAATAATCCTTGCATTTGATATAGCGCCTTTTCAGGTCTTCTAGACATCTCAAAGCGCTTCACAGAATATACTGTAAAGTGAATTGACTGTATGTTTGTGGGTGAAACGCGGCAGCCAATTGCGCATAGCGGTTTCCCACAAACAGTCGTGGATTGAGTGACCAAATTATTATGTTTTTAAAAATTTCTTGAGGGATTATCATCATGCATGCGGAGTAAGAAAACTTGCCCAAGGCTTCGTCCTGCAGGGAATCAAAACCAGGTCTCTCGCTTAAACAGGATGATACCTTCAGCTGTGGTTCACCATGTGCCCCATAGTGCCACCCTCATCACATTGGGTTGCGATCAGCAAGTTGCCAACCACAATTATTGGATTATTTCACTTTTTGAGGGCAGGGTAAAGAATAACATTGTGGAAGTAAAGTGTTACATTTGTCACAGATGTGCTTTGGTGGAGTGTAGTATTAACAGTAGCAATAAGTATTTTTTCCCCCGTGTCCATCACTAAGGTATGAAACATAATATGTTAGATTGACTCATTCATTATTAATGAAATATATTTGTTCACCACATAAGATGCATTGTATCAAATAATGATCAAAGAGAGTCTAAATAGTTGAAAATATTCTAAAGGCTGTATTTTAAAGTAAAAATCTGAAAATTGAATTCTTTTGAAAACATAATTTCAGTATGTTTACAAATGGGTGTAGATTAATGTATTTATGTTATTGTTCTCCAGTAAATTAAATCATGCTAAAGGTTTAGAAAGTGAAAAACATCTGGCAAGCACTGATGTGGAAAAGAAAGAATGCCAGGAACATGTAAGTGATTGCTGCTTTTTATGCACATTTCTGACACTCATTGTAGCAATTCATTAGCAGCCATCAAGAAAGCACGTAGGAAGGTGCAATAGTTAAACATGATTGTTCTGCTTCCCATCTCTCTTCATAACAAATACATTAGCTCCCTTACCGTATGCAATGGCAAAATGTAAACCCAGCCCAATCGACAAAAGAGACCAAAATCCCAAGCACTACACCCGATTCCACCAGTAGCAAGTACTAACCATACTCTTGAATCCTAAGCAAATGTGACCCTATAAAATGTTACCAAAATATGATAGTGCATATTTGCAAGTACATATTGCCTGTAAACGACAATATATTTGCCTCCAAAAATAGTCACAAATTTATATATGTATATATCCTTTAATTATTTGAACTTTTCATTCATTTGTATTGTTTTATGTATAATACAAAACACGGTAATGTTACAGTGTTACAGAAGGGCTCTGAGATGCCGTCCGGCATGGAGGGAGCTATATAAATCCAAGTTGTTGTTGTTGTTCTGCAAATATGCAAAATCTTTGCAAAACATTCTTTGATACATTGAATAGTACGCTAGTTCAAAGGACGCCATATTCACTTTGTTAGTATCATAGTGCATTACCTTGGCTTTTCCTTGATCCTGTTGACAAATCTTACTTTTTCCTGTCAGCTCCCACTTGCAGTTATAACCAAAGACAAATTTCTCGAGACTTTGAGTTCAAGCACATTTGTTTCTTCTGAAAATGAAGAAAGTGCACAATCTATATCAAAAAGATGAAATGTGTGTCTGTCTAACCAATTGACATAGAGACACCAACAGGAGTCCTCCCTCTTCCCCCTCCCCCCACACTCGCAGGAGTCCTCCCAAAAGGATATGTGTGCAAATATGTGAACGAGGGATGCTAACGCACAATAGCACATTTTCTTAATCTTAAGGGATTAAGATGCCTAAGAAGCAAAGATCAAGCCTTTCAAGGACAAATAAAAATGTCAGACGAAAGAGAGAAGGGCAATTAAATGAAACTGGTTGTGAACGTAGCTGTAATGGGTACAGCTAGTATTATATAAAACCCACAAATCCATTTTGTAAAACTAACACGCTAACAAGGTTCATAAATACACTACGATCTGTTCTGGAAGCTTACATGCTTTCTGAATTCTCTTTATTACAGCCATATAAAATGTTCTCTGCATATGTGTTCCTCTGTATCTCACACATTCACATTGGTGACATCTTTTCCATTTGATCTATTCTAGAATAATGGGATTGCCTCCTTTGGAATGTCAGTGTTTAACTTGAGCAATGCAATCATTGGTAGTGGGCTTCTGGGCTTATCGTATGCAATGGCCAACACGGGAATTGTGCTGTTTGTGTAAGTAACATGCAGAAAATCAATATTAGCATTATAGTTTGCTTTTAGAATGAGAACTTGTTTTTATTTCAACAGGAACAAAAAAACACCTTTAATTCATTTAACTCTACTGGCACAGTTCAATTTACAGTCCTGTAAAACAAGATTTCAAAGATATTTTAACTGAATTCTGTAATTGAATTGCCATGTTAAAGTTATGTGCAGATGTCTGATGTTTTCAGAAAACAGACCATTTCCTTTTCCGTCCACAACAGATTTAGGCTTCAGGCACCCCAAGTGCCTGTTTACATTGTTTTTCACATAGAATTCAGTTGTTCAATTTACTGATTATCATGTGAATTTTCGACCTTATGAGGAGCTTTGCATTCAGTTCACTTCACCATTGCTTCCAAACTGTCTATGGTGTATTCAGTAGGGAGAAATAGGTCAACCGTTGATACCAAACACCAATTTTAGTGTCCAGAAACCGCTCTTTTGATTATTCTATCACCAACACCCACCATTTCACAGCAAATTACACAGAAGACATTAACAGTTTAATAGCGGTAGTATTAATTTGAATAAATGCCTCCTCTGCTCTCACAAGTTTGCACTTTTAGCCTTTAAACAGTGCAGAAGCCATTGATTATTTTGAACTTACAATACTTAGCCCTTTTTGTTTTGCTGGAGAAGGCAGAGTTGAGTTATAGAAACTGCCCCCTGAGTTAACAATTCAACTGTTAATGTTTTTAACAGTTGTAGAATGGGCTGTAAAATCTGTTGAAAACGCTTCATGTGGGTTTTCAACACCTGTGAGATTAGCTCCACAGTGTCTGCAAGTATGAATCTTCATTACCATTGCTGGAATTTCTAGCCACTTTACAATAATATTTTTGAACTTTCAATTTGTTTGGTTTTCTTTGGTCCTTAGTCAAAGTAGCTAATGGATTCATACAGAGAACCTTGGAAAATAGGTTTTAGAAATTACATAACATTTGCACTCTTAACCACTGTTAACCTGTATTAACCAATACAGCTTTTCTATATATAACTACAAAACTGTGACTAAAGTTGGCCAGAATTAATATTTCTAATATTCTTCTAAAATCATTAGGAGTCTGTCTTACTCTGAGTGTTTAAAATAGCGATTTTTTTGTTTCATCTTCATAATGGGATTCCCCTTTAGACATAAAAGATTCTATTTTAAGCAATAATTGTATCATTAGCTTCTCTAAAAAAAACTACAAAATGCAAGTCTCTGAAGAAGAAATGTGCAGCTGTCTTCAAGAGAAAAATACCATTTATTTTTATTTTGCCTAATTCTACAGGATTCTATTAATTGGAGTAATGCTGTTGTCTCTGTATTCTATTCACCTTTTGCTGAATATTTCAACAATAACAGGTAAGATTGTTTACTTGAGACTGTTCACAATATTTCATTGCAAATTGCTTAGCGATTACCTTAACATCTAGTCTTGATCCCATTCGGCTTCAATGTTATAAGGTTGGTTTTGCATCTTAAAATACCCTGTAGGCTTTATGGTGTGTGTGTGTATATATATATAACACACCATAACGTGGAGTCCTGTAGCTCAGTGGTTAGAGCACTTGCTTTGCTCCATACACCTAATAATAATCTCTCAAGAAAAAAATAATAAATTGGTCACTTCAATCCACGACTGTTTGTGGGCCAATGCTGTGCGCAATTCGCTGCCGCATTTCGCCCACAAATGTACAGTCAGTTTACTTTAGAGCATATTCTGTGAAGTGCTTTCAGACGTCTAGAAGATGTGAAAAGTGCTATATCAAATGCAAGGATTATTATTATTATGAAGGTAAAAGAGCAAGAAGTGAAGTTCCTGTGCTTTTAAGTACCACGTAAGTAGTTTGACGCACTCTTCATGTGTAGGGTGCTATATAAATGCAAGTTGTAGTTGTTGTTACTTTAGCAGTCTTTTTTTCCAGATATTTCATGATATGAGTTTTTATCAAAAGGCTGTGGCTTCTAATCATGAATGTGAAAAATGCAGCAGTAATTAAATCATTTAAACACTGAAAGTTGAATTGAGTTTGTGACTCAAATTACATGAAACAGAAGAGTGTGTCATAAACTGACCAGTGATAAACGAGGGCAGTAGTCCAGATCATAATTTACTTGTGGCACATGATTTGAAATTCCAAAGCTCAGAATTATCAAAAGTGGGTACTGCAGTTTTAATTGAGTGCAATTCACAAAGCTTATCATTTACATTAACTTAGAAATCGTAGTCATCAAGAGTGCAGTGTAAGTCAGGACAGAAATAACCTTTTTTAAATCAGTCTGGACATTATCATGTGCTTAAACATAGTTGAGAAATTTGCAAGATCAGATGATTTAGTCGAAGTCCAAGCAGAAAGCTAGTATCTTGAAACAATGCCACAAAAAGCCTCATAGAACTTAATAATAATAATCCTTGCATTTGATAAAGCGCTTTTCACGTCGGGAGGACATCCCAAAACGCTTCACAGAACACACTGTAAAGTGAATTGACTGTATATTTGTGGGCGAACGCGGCAGCCAATTGCGCACAGCAATGACCCACAAACAGTCGTAGATTGAAAATGAACAATTTATTATTGTTTTATTTTTTGGAGGGATTATTATTAGGCGTGTGGAGTAAGGAAACTTGCCCAAGGTTTCGCCCTGCCTGGAATTGAACTCAGGTCTCTCACTTGCAAAGCGAGTGCTCTAACCACTGAGCTACAGGACTCAACTTAATGTTGTATGAATCTTTCTGTGTTCTTGTCCTTGTTCTTTAGATATGGATCATGTTTTGCATCAAGAGCAAAGTTGTGTAGTTGTATTTTTTCTGTTAACCCTGCTCTTCCCCAGACCCTTTTGTCTCTCTCATAGTGGACCCTTAGATGCCACATCCTCCACCTGATTGGAGGGGAAAGCAGTGAAACTGCAAATGTAACCTTAGGTACCCTTATTGCGATGCCTTGTTAATGATAAGCTGCTCATGTTCTTTACCCCATTGAACCTGGCTCTACGCACAAGGAAAATTTGTATCAACAAAACAAACAAAATGTTCCGCAGAATGGAAAGTTTGAACTTTGTATTTGCCCACCCTCAAATACAATACATTCCTGATTGTAAGCATGAACCATGTTTCATTTTTACATATGTGGGGGATTTTCTTGAAGTAACAGTATTTGTTCACAGAATTCACTGAAATGACTACAGTTTGTAGGTGAAGTGGTTTGAAATGTTGTCCTGACACGAAACGCTCTATATTAAATGCAAAGATCATTATTATTTTGTAATTTTATGTAAATAAAATGTACAATGATCTCTTTGATTTTTTTCATCAAAAGCTTTTTTTTCCTAATTTTTGAAACATTTTCTTTCATTTAGGTTCCATGGTCTATGAAACACTGGGAGAAAAAGCATTTGGCAAACCTGGAAAGTTTATTGTCTTTGGAGCTACATCGCTACAGAACACTGGGGGTAATGCATTTAGAGTTAAGAACTCTTTAGTTACTAATGTGCTGAAACGTTATTCTGACTTCTGCTGTTAGAAGAATTTTATCTTCAGTCTATTGCTCGCCACATTTTTTTTCTTAGTTCCCCTTGCAGCAATAATTAGATTCACTTTGTTAGCACATCAAACTCTGCTATACGCCTTCCAACTCAATGTCTCTCTCGTTGGCTGATTGCCTTCTGGTGTAATCAGTCAAGTTCGAAACCTATGCATTGAGTCCAAAAAGTTCAGGTAATTGTATCAACTCAATATTAATGCGTCACAGGTAGAACTAGGGGATTTGCCATCACCTATGGAAACTCGTATTTGGCTCTGCATATGAACTGTATATTCATGGAGTGGTATGACTTTATATAGGCTGTGAATTTATAGATTAATGTCCTTATTTCTGTACAGTAGAGAGCTGATTATTTGTACTGATCAGGACTGGCCCCATTATGGATAGGCAAACAATGCAGACATACAAAATCCAAATTGACTACTGCGCTATCCATCAAAATATCTAGAAAAATATAGCATCAGAAGGTACACTGTCACTATAGTACCACTTTTCCTTGCCCTTCTCCCTACGACTTACTCTCTCTCTCAGGCACTGAAAAAAACTCTGTGCTTATTTAATTGAGTTTAGCAGACTGGTATGATTCTGAGGTTGAGCCAGAAATTAAATACAAGCATAATTTTTTTTTGCTTTTAAACCTTCAGATGTGACTAAATGTTGCACGTGACATTTTTTAACAGGAGAATCCTTTTTCTTTTGCTTAGATTGATACTGATACCCTTCCAACTAATCAGCAGTCAAAATCCACAGTCCACAAGATGAATGTCAGGTCACAAATTAGCTTCACCTGGGTAGAATTAAGAATGGTGTCAATGGATCGATCTCTGTTTAAAGTTTAAACCGCACTCTGGATTCCTAACGATTTTATTGCAGTGGAGTATTTAATGACAACCCTGAACCATTTTGCCATTACACTTAATTACTTTCTGAACAGTATCAGCCTTGATTAACTTCGGCAACAGTATCAACCTTTAATCTCCTTAATTTCCCGGTTAATTAAATAGAATTATAAAATCCACTGCAACAGTTCAAACAAAGCAGAAAGCACACAGATGTGTGTCCATTTCCCCCAAATTCACATCTTTGCAGATTGACTGAAAAACTGTAGTTCGTTTGAACCTGTTAAATGCAGTAGACGGGTCCAATCCTTCTCAGTTACAGGTTGTTGCACACAATGTGAATGACGAGAAATAAGCGAATAATGCTTGAAGGAGCAACTCTTCACATCACTGAAACTACTGTGAAGCAGTAAAGCAACTTAGATCCAGGTAGCACCTGAATTTATATTCTAAAACGAGTATTTCAAGAAAATATAGGTACTGACAAAGTTGAAAAAATAAAGAGAGATTCTGTTTGTTTTCACAAAAACTAAAACATTTTCACATTTATTGTGATGTACAAAGCACACACCATAGATCTCCTTCCTTCAGCACCTCTCAATATGCAGCAGTGCATGAAATTTGCCATTGAGTGGATAGTATTAATTCAGTATTTTAGAGACCCTCTAACATAAACAGATTAATTATCAGGATACCTACACAATGGCGCTGCACCACAATTTAACATTGCCACCTGTGATGTACTATAAAAGTGGTAGCTTGCTGCTATTTCATTAAGAGATCACTTATCCCAATTGCTTTTTAACAGTCTGGCAGTTTGCAAGACAATTTGCTTCCTGCCAAGAACACATTAAAGTAAGCTGCACCTCACGTGCCAAAGGGCATAATTATAATTTTGCTTTGACCTACGGAATTGGAATCGTCCGGGTTGACGTTGATTCAGTTTGTACAATCAACTGTGCGCAATCGTTATCGCAATCGAGAACATTTTTAGATAAACACGGTTTCAAAGGCAACCAAAAAGTAGATAGCAGGTATTTGAGACAGACGGGTTTGTATTTGAGAATTTGTTTTGGCAAAATAAATGACTTTATTGTCTACAGATAGACAGGATATATTAAAACAGGATAGAACATAGATAGGAATAATTTTATTTGGCACTTTTAAAGAAAATCATGTTGATAGAGGAAAGGGCAATAGTTATAAACTGGACCCAATGTTAACAAGTATTTTTTTCTGTTTTCTTTTAGCCATCCTGAGTTACCTATTCATAGTGAAAAATGAACTACCATTTGTCATCAAGTCCTTCGTAGACGTGAATTCCCAGTAAGTATGGTTCATTTGCATGTTTTATTGAACCAATTCATTTTCCATCCAGGTGCTTCTGAAATCCAGGGCATTGAGATTCTGAAAGATTAGCACAACTTGTATTGAAAATTGGAATCTGCATTGTAGAAATCATTGCAAAAATTTCAGTGCATAAATCTTATTGACAGTTCACTGAAATTTTAATTTATGAAAAGCGGTAATGATAAATAGACATCTTTGATTGTTGTGCATCCCAGTTTGAATCCCCATGAATTACATGTCATCAAATAGCGTGATGAATGCAAATGTCTCACCCATTGAAGAAATATTCCAGTTTTCTGCTTTTTTGTTCTTTTAAACAAATTTCTGTTAATTATTTTCAAGTTATATATTTTTTCAAAATACCAACACTGGAGTCTAGAGAATGAGTTTCGCCAGGCTATTCAATCTTAATCGTTGTCATATTTTTCAATCTGATGTAAGGAATTCTGGTTCAACTAAATGTTAGAGGAATCTAAGAAATGTTAGTAAATGATTTACCTAGAATTTCCTGCCCCAAATAGTCTGGAATAGGGACCTAGATTTGAAAAAAACACCATTTTGTTTGCCTTACACAATAGTGGAGTGCTGTGGCTTAGTGGTTAGAGCACTTGCCTCACAAGCAAGAGGACCTGGGTTCAATTCTCAGCAGGATGAAACATTGGGCAAGTTCCTTTACTCCACACGCCTGTTTACCCAGCAGTAAGTAGGAACCTAGTTGTTAGTTGATTGGTGGATCACTTTTTCCTGGAGTAATAGTCCTTTTTATATAAAAAAGATTGGTCACTCAAATCACAACTGTTTGTGGGGCACTGCTGTGCACAATTGGCTGCCTTGATTCGCCCATAAAATATACAGTCAATTCACTTTACAGTATATTCTGTGAAGCACTTTGAGACGTCTCAAATTACATGATAAGGTGCTATATCAACTGCAAGGATTATTATTAATATCATCACTCAGTTTCCAACACAGAAACTGCTAGAATCTATATTTTAGTTGTCATGTGCACCAATGAGAAATTTGATTTACTTAGTGACTGTTTCTGAAATTGCTCAAATAATTTTTATGAGCAAAGCCCCTCAAAGGTTACAGGTGACTACTCCACTGTAAGAGATTACTCAATGTTATTGAATTTTTCTCGTTTCAGGGAATGGTATCTGAATGGCAGCTATCTCATCATAATTGTGACACTGGTCATCATTTTACCCTTGTGCCTCTTCAAGAACTTAGGTATGCATAAGAGCAGGAAGTTTCACAGTACTAGGTAGGAGTACAGAAATAAGGCATTCCCTCAGGAATCGGCGTATAAATGCACCATGTGGTTTTATGAAGCAATGCAGCACGGACCAGCAAGGCCCCATGTTTGATCCTTGATCTAGGATGAGCTAGCAAGTCTCTGGGGGGATGTGTGGGGTGCTGTATTTGGTGATAGTTGAGCCTACCCGACTCCCAATCCAACCTTGGAAGAGAAAGGTTAGTTAGATTTCTCATTCCTGATTGCTAACCAGTGACTGAAGCTGGGAAGTGTGTGTACTGTATATGTATCAGGAGCAGACCGGATCAGGTTTCACTTTATTTCCCCTCCATGATTGACGAGTACCATATGAGTAAGATACCAGGCAGATGAGTGCTGTGCTCCAGCAATACTGACCAGGAGAATAACCGAGCTGGATACATTTTTAGTTGAAATGAAGGTAAACAGGATAAATACAGAGAGGGGCAGTCAAATTCTCTGTGGAACATTACGATGCTTGTGTTGCTGAGTCCTTGGAAAGATCATCTGTGGAATGTAGCTGGTGAATGCTGAATAATGTAGGTTGCAATGAGAGATTTATGTCCCAGAATTCTGTCAGATTACTTGTGGCAATCAGGATTTTCACAGAGCTTTATCTACTCAATAGTTTTTGCCTGTCATCATTCCACTCTTTCTCAAGGGTAAATCAAGGTGAAATAATTCCACGAGAGTCCACACCCAAGAAAATTGTACACAGTCATTTACATATGTGATCAGAGGGAACAAAGGTATATTTTGCATTTAATAAGTGGAAGCACAATGTGGCCCAAAAGACACAGAAGCTGCTCCCCTCTCCCTCCTACCTCCATACAGGTGATCCTTACACTTGGGAGTCCTGTAGCTCAGTTAGAGGTTAGAGGTTAGAGCAAGCGAGAGACTTGAGTTCGAGTCCCAGCAGAGCAAAACCATGGTTTTCAAAGTTTCTTTACTCCACACGCCTGATCACGCCTCAAGAAAAAAACCAATAATAAATTGGTCACTTCAATGCACGAGTGTTGTGGGACACTGCTGTGTGCAATTGGCGGCTGCGATTTGCCCACAAATATACAGTTAATTCACTTTACAGTATATTTTGTGAAGCGCTTTGAGATGTCTAGAAGATGTGAAAAGCATTATATCAAATGCAAGGATTATTATATCTTGAATAAATTACTTTATTGTTTGTACATTTTACCTAAACCTCATTTGACAAAATCATCTTTCGGTGTTCTGTGCTTACTTGTGCTGTAATCAGTGCAAAACTGTTTCAAGATGGGGATGTCGTCAAAGTATAGTGTTATGGCCATTCTCTTGATAAGATAGTGATAATGTACTAAACTTTATACAGTACAAAGTGGGTAGAGGTAATCACACTAACTATGGTGTTTCTCTGTTCCTGTTAGTCACTGTTGTGTTTCTACAATGTGAGTGGAAAAAATTAGTTACGAAGAACAATTAAACTATTTTGAGTATATAACATATCAGGTTTATGGAGCGCACAACTAGGTTCTAAGACTGTGAGATCAGATAACTTTATCAGGTTTATGATGCCCTCTGAAAATTGTTATTGCTATTAATGATATTAATACTATTGCTCGTGTTCAAATCAATTCACTCGCCGGCACCTCCCTACCTCTCCAAACTCCTCACTCCCCAATCTACTACCCAGCGCCTCTGCTCGACTGGCACCGGCCTCCTGCTTGTCTCTCGCACCCTCTGACCCAACATCGGAGGTCGTGCTTCAGCCACTACGCCCCAAAACTCTGGAACACTCTCCCTCAATCTCTCTGCCTTGCCACCTCTCTCCCCTCTTTCAAGTCCCGCCTGAAGACTTTCCTGTTGGACCATGCTTATGGCCCCACCTCCCACCTCCCCCGGCTTGGAGTCACGCTCCGCCACTGTTAAACTCTCTGAGACGCTACCTTGTGTGGAAGACGCTACATAAGTGCAAGTTGTTGTTGTAATGATAGAGTAAATGCAAGATATAAAGCTCATAGGTGAAATATAATGCTTTCTCCTCATGTTGTGGACTGCATCAATATGCAAGGTGATGGTTTCCTCTCCTGTCTTGCAGGCTATCTTGGATACACCAGCGGATTTTCACTTGCTTGTATGATTTTCTTTCTGATCGTAGTAAGTAAAAATACTAAACAAGTATGTTGTTATACAACTGCACCTGAAAAATAATTATTTTTAAAAAGATTGTTAGAACCTACATAGTAAGGATATGTGAATAAATGTTCAACATTTTGAATTCATAACATTTCAAGAGGTTGGAGAGACGAAAATAACCATTACTATCTGCCTTGTTTTCAGGTTATCTGGAAAAAAACAGAGATTCCTTGTCCTTTTACAGTATCTAATTCATCCTGCATTTCCGATGGAGTTAAGTGCAACGCCAAGTATTTTGTCCTCAATGAGAAGGTATTTTTTTTAAATTCACTAATGTTTCAAAGACTTGATGAATTACTCAATGAATTTTCATTAAAAAAGCAAAACTGGTGCACACAAATTCTACGGTTGATGATTTCTGCAACCAGAAATGTCCAGAATTTGAGACCAAACAAATGGCTCATTGGATCAAATTTATACATAATGTGTCCATCCACTTATTACATGGTTTCAAGATTGGTTTGGATGAAGGTGCTCGACTCACTTGATCTCCTTCCAGGAGATCGCACTCTCGTTTAAATGAGTCCAGTGGTTTGGCCTCTACCAACGTTCCTGGCAGTCATTAATTACCCTCTACCTTAAGTTTTTTCCAACTTATACCTTGTGTTCTCCCGCTCTTTACTGCTATGCATTAGTTCTCCAGTGATAACACCGATGTACCAGTGTCACTGAAAACTTTTAACATTCAATAAATAATAATAATCCTTGCATTTGATGTAGTACCTTATCATGTCTTTGAGACATTTCAAAGTGCTTCAAATGTACAAAAGGACATGTTTTTGTACAGGGTACATATAATCTTGCAGCTTCATTGGTTGCTAATTTTGCTTTAAGGCCATGCTTAAAGTGAAATTGTTGTTTTGTGTTACAGACTGTATATGCATTACCCACTATGGCCTTTGCTTTTGTGTGCCAACCATCATTGCTGCCCATCTACAGTGAACTTAAAAAGTAAGTTTGATGCTTTTATATAGACTGTATATATTTGCTACTTAAGAGAGTTGGAATAAAAATAAAATATAATTTTTTTTCCAGTCGAACAAGCAGAAGAATGAAGAAAGTTTCAAACATTTCAGTCTTTGCAATGTTCATCATGTACCTGTTGACAGCGATTTTTGGATATCTAACTTTCTACGGTAATAATATTTAATCGTTTTCCACGCAAGTTCAAGGGTCTGCTCTTGTATCGATCATCGTATTATAAATTGATAACACAAATGTAAATAAGAAAACTATCATTTGAACACTGTTCTTTTCCTTTGTACAGATGATGTTAACTCAGAGCTGCTTTGCTCCTATTCTGATAAGAGAGACCAAACCATATTAATCGTTCGTTTGGCTGTGATAACAGCAGTAATACTGACTGTGCCCGTCCTGCTGTTTACTGTGAGTATTATTAACTTCAGGCCAATCTGTTATGCTTCTTTTGTGACATTTTTGTTTTGTAGAAATGTTATAAAACACAATAGAATGGGCTTCCTGGTGATTCAGTGGATAACTAAAAGGTGCTTGAGGCCTTAGATAATTGGGCTTGTTTAAAAAGAAGATTGATACTGTTGTGGGGAAACAGTAGGGTTCAAATACTGGAAGGAATAGCCAAGAAGCGCCATTTTTCTAAGTGTCCAATTATTTTCTAATAAACCTTCAATTGCATATTATACTTAGGCTCTGGGTCCCCGTGCATTTCCATGAGTGCTAGTTGTCCTCTGGTACTTTGTCTAATTTGCCATTGTTTATGTGTAATCCTGACAAAGAGTGTTAGCTGTAAAGGGAGTCGGAACCGAACCTGACCTCTTCTTACCCAACTGCCATATAGACTTTTATCAGTGGCGGGTGCTGTAGATGGACAAGGAACCGGAGCCTTGACTGATTTTCCTCTCCATAACCCTGGGAAGGTCATGGCTAATTTGGCCTTTCCATGCAGCCAGACTGAGACCAGGAACTGAGCCAAGCTAACTTCCACAGTTAGCTGATCTCAACAAAGGCAGCAATAGGTGTACAACTAGTTGCCATTGCTGGAAATTGCGTAAGAATGGACATTGGGTGGGATAGGATCAGGCTCAGTTGTCCTGTGATTGAATAGCTGCCAGTGCCTACAGTCTGGGTTAAGTAATTATTTGGTGGAGATACTACAGACCACATAGTCTCGGTTTAACTGTACAGCAACATGAGTCAGAACCTTAAGGAGAGGGAAGGGAGAAGATTGGACAGAACAGAACATATCTTTTTACTCCAAGAATTCCTTATGTTACAAGAGAAAAAGTGTTGTTTGTTATATGAGCAGTTTAGTCTACGATAGATCAGGGTGATACTCACAAGTATAGCAATCTGAGCACCATGGAATAATGATGGGTATTGATTCACAAGCAAAAGTTCACACACAAGCGAGTTTATACTAGCCATACTAACTGGGCATCAGGACAGAGGTGTGAAACACGCTCCCCTCAGAAAAGGAAAGATTGGTGTAAAAGTCAAGTCTGGTCAGTCATACATTTCTTTGCAGCCAGCTGGCACTGTCATTAGTCTGACCTTAAGCTCAGGGATGTATGTGACTTTGAGAGGATAGGAGCAAGATGATTGAAAGTGGTGAGGATCTTCCAAGTGGGGAAAAAAAGTAGCATAAACATCTTATAATCTTTTTGGATAATATTTAGTTTAATAATAATGGCCCATCATTCACAAATAAACCCTACGTAGTACAGTGGTGCTCTGCTATATGACTGTTCATTAACATCTTAGCAGCTCCCATTTTTATTGAATGCCTCCTTATGAAACGGGGTCTGATTTTATGGACCAAAGCCACTGGATTTATAATGGGGCCCAACTATCTGTTATATGGTAATATGCAGGTATACTAAATGAGACTGGATGATCCTTTTTAATATTAATAAAGGAGGTGCAAGTGGTTCTTGCTCCTCACTGTTGAATGAATCTGTTTACTACAAGAAAGAGCTTCCTGCTCTTTCTCTTGTTTTTTTTTCTTTATGTGTTCGTGAAATTAACTTATTCATTGAAGGAATGCTGTTGGAGACAGAGACTGAAACAAGGTTGTTGGCAATAATTAAATTAGTTATTTTTCTTTACACAGATCCGCTCATCAATACTTCTGATAGCATTGAAAGGAAAGTTCAGCTGGTTCTGGCACATTATTACCACCTTAGTCCTTCTGATTGCCTGTAACGTTTTGGTGATATTAATTCCATCAATAAAGGATGTTTTTGCTGTGATTGGTAAGTTGCAGCATTATTCTGTGTAACTGTGATGCAATGACAGATTATTTTCATAACTTGATTGAACTTTTCCCCTTCTAGTTAATTTGGTTTCCAATGTATGTTCTTCTATGTTGCAGGGTCCTCTTCTGCTAATATGCTAATCTTCATTATTCCTGCTTCATTATACTTAAAGCTGGCAAAGGATGAGACAGTTTTTACACTGCGAAAGATGGGGGTATGTACATTTTATGCTGCTTTTAATTTGTGTTTTTTGCTTCTGGAATGTTGTTTTCTGATTGTTCCCATTAGTCAAATATTTATGGTTGCTTAGCCCAGCATTTGTGTTGTTAAAAGCAACTAGCGTGTTATGCAATGACATTTCACCAATTTGATAACGCCACAGTTGCAAATTTTTCTAAATATTGTCGAATCTCTTGGCAAGAGAGCATCCTCTATCTTGTAAAGATACACAATGCCTGTAATGTGACTCAAGCGCTGAATATTTTTTCTTGATTGAAAATGATAATGTTTTATTGTTTACTCTTTCCAGACTGTATTATTTCTGATTGCTGGAATAATATTTATGCTGGTGAACTTGCCATTGATTATTATTGAGTGGACTCATCGAGACTCCAATACTACTACCACAGAGAGCTGCACTAAGGAATTGTAGTTGTAGCAGAATGAAGAACATGACTTCGCTTTCCACTTTCCGCAGCATAGAAGTCTTTAAAGAATTATTGTCCTTGAGACGTAGTGGGATGTTTGAGAGATTGCTGGACACAAACAAGTATTCATTTGATAATCAAAGACGGTCGTGTTTTTTTTTAAAAAATTAAGACTCTTGCAGTTGTTTTTACAAAAGTATTTCTAGATAGTGTTGGATCATTTTGATAATACACTTTCATAAGTGGTTGTCAGATTGCATATTTTTTAATTTCCTAATGTTTCTCTGTCATTTAAAAAAAACCTTGCAGTAAACTGCCTAGAATGCTAAAGATTCCTGGCAATCTTGGCTGGAAATTCTTATACAAAGTCATTGAAAGGAACGTTCCACTTATTTGCTCTGCAAATGTTTGGGATTTCTGACCAGAAATGGATTTTGTTAATAGTGATAGTATTTGTCAAGAACATTTCATTGTGGTATCTCATTGTAAGATTGATCATGTAAACTTTAGTAAGAATTCACAGGATTATCAATACTTAAAATAAAACTTAGCTCACTTGAAAAATGCATGTAGTTAATGAGAATTCCAATATCAGCATGCATTATCACATAATACAATTATTGTCGTCCCCAATGAGTTTAGCATTTGAACTTAATCAGTTTTTAAACCAAAACAAACTTATTTTATTTAAATGTAAGACATACTTTTGTAAATATTCATTCAGTTGTTCTTTTAAAATGCTTGATCCACATTGATCAGTTTTGAAAGGTCAGAATTCTGAATTACCAATAAATAATTTGTATTTTAAAATAACATTTGTGTCTATGTCAAGATTGATAATTCTCTTCTGAAGTTGTGCTTTGATCAATGGGTGACATCAATCATACTATGTTGTGTTTAATTAGGAGGAACCAGCAATGCAAAATCAATGACACTTTCTCCCCCCCACCACAACCACTTTAACAATTGTACATAACAACAATTAACTTGGATTACAGAATTTAAGTTATTGAAGTTCATAATGAATACAACTTTATTGACCATTCACAATAGATATTTTGTTGAAAGAGCTCCATTTAGTGATATTGCACAATAAATGTACATTTTTACTGAGAAAATAAATGCTGCTGGTTAGCAAAACATCTGTAAAAGGAGCTGGAATGGGATGCTTCTTGATGATACAGCTGTTTATTCAACAGAAAATATCACAAATGCCAACTGTGTAGAATGTGAGTCTGTGTGGGATGTGATTGCAGCTGTTTGTCTTTGAATCCTTACATCGTTTTAAAATGTTTTAAATTGTTCTGTTCTTACTTTTGATTCTTTTGATCTATTAGTTAAGTCTAGTTTGTTTTGGCTGTCTATATGAAATTGACCTGTCTTGAAGAGACTATTTCAGGTATTTAAATATGGCATGCGCAATAACTCTGTGTAGTTGGGAGGATCTGATAACATTTCTGTTTTTGATGTATTCGATAAAAGGAAATCTATCGGGACCATCAAAGGCTGGTTCCCCTCTCACACCCCACATATTGGGGTATGAGAAGGGAACATCTCCCATCGTGTCTTAATCAAATTAGTTTACAGCAGAATCTGTCCAGAGAAAGGGAGAAGTTCAAACACAACTAAGAGGAAAAACAGCTGTTTGCAGTGTTCAGGGGCGGCTGGGAGCTGGACACCAGCTCAGAATGAAGGAGTGGTTCATTCCATCTAAGAAACAGCATAGTTAACTCTGGTACTGTTGAAGTGCAGTTACAAAGGGCTGTATTATTTTTTTTGTCATGTTCCTTTGTCTGCAAAATAAAGATCTGCTTTAAACCACCATTCTTCTGCTAATGATTCCTGCGCTGCTACAAAAACTAACAAAAGGCATTCCACTTTTTGAAAGAGAGAAATTCATAATCCAGACTGCAGTCAAATTCACAAGGGAATTTGACACAGGCATGAGCCCTCTTAATCAAATGCAACTGGTATCTATATCTATACTAATAAAAACAACAATGTATGCCTGTCTGTGTGCGCTTCAAGAAGGATCTCAATAACCGATTGACATAGAGAAATGATTTATATCTTATCAGAAAGGTCTTGCATCTAGGAGTGACATAGGCATATTTGTTTTCAAGTATCTCCTATTTTTCATGAGTTATGACTTAAATTGCACTTCAGTTTTGCTTTTTTTTGCTGCAATTATGCCTGGTGGCCACCAAGTCAAAGTGCCACTGTGGCATTGTGCGTCACAGAGCACCTACGCATGTACTCACACTCTGCAGTTACACCTGGTGACCGCACCAGCTGACCGTGGTGCTGTGGCATCTTGCGTCACAGAGCACGCATGCAGCCAAGTGGCGGTGGGAACAAAATAAAGAACACAGACGAAGCTAAGCCACAGCAACAACAACAAAATTACATTTGTATAGCGCTTTTCATGTCGGGGAGGGGGGGGAGGGACGTCCCAGTGATTATAAATTATACATTTATATTTTTCGTTATAAAGATGCCTAAGTGAAAATCAAACCTTTCAAGAATAAGTAAAAATGCAAGACAAAAGAGAGAAGGCCCATTTAACGAAACTGAAGAACAAAGAATATCAGGGCTGTACTTCAATGCTGAAAGGACTGCAACGGCACACCAAAATGAGTTACTCACTCAATGAACCGCACAGCCAAAATGAGTCCTCCCACAGAAGTCCTCCCAGATGAGTATAGATAAAGATGAAACATCTGACTGTGTGTCAATCTATATTCCATATTGGATCGTTTGGTTGCAAGAGTAGCTGCAAAGGGTACAGCCAGTATATATAAATATGCAGATCTGCCCAAGAGAAATGGCATCATAACAATTCTCTTACACTTAATTTATTGAGTGTATTTCAGAGCAACAGTACTGAACACACCCTGTATAATATTATTTGAGCAAAATGTTCAGATATTAGGAAAACTTTGAAATACAAAATTAAGAACAGAAGAAACTATTCAGCCCATCAAGACTGCTCCAACAGGACTATTCCATAACTTAGATTCCACAGCGTGCTCTTATCCAGAAATTACCTCCTTTTAAGTACATCATCGGAAATGGAACCAAGGAGCAGAAACTATGCACACAGCTCATTAAAAAAAAAGAAATGGGCCTTTTCAAGATAAAGTAGTTGTCAATATAACTCAACTCTAAAGTGATTATTTGCATATTAGCTGTTTTACTAAAGTTATTGTACACCTAAATCTGTTATATTCCCTGTGTGACTCAGTTCCTGTGAAATTGCATAGAAAAAATACTGACCTTGTACTTATAATTGGATTTCCCCATTAAAAAAGGCATTTTAGTCTTTACCAACCAGTGGAATGTGAACCTAGTATTGTTGTTTCTAATAGTTGGTGTTAAATGTACAACTGTTAGAACACTTTACCTTGAAAGTATTGGCATACCACATGGCCAAACCTAACTCGATGACACTAAGTTTTGAAAAAGAATAGGATATTTGTGGGCGAATAAGGGATACTTTCTTATAGATTGACTGTTAAATAATAAATTGCAGATAAGCATTATTGCCCAGATCCAGATATTGTCTGATGGGATGGTATAACCTGTCCTTTATCAACATAGTTTGGTACTGTAATCCAGGGCAGGATTTGTATGGATGATCAAAGATCCTTTTATATATTACCACAATAAAAAGTTGAGTTTCATGGGATGCAAAGAAAAAATGAAGGAAAAAGATGCTGTGTAACATGAATTGAAAGGGATAAGGACTGGGTCTTTGATCATATGCAGCTCTGATCCAAAAAGGTAGAGGTTTTAATTTTCTATATTTTCCTAAGGTGCATGATTAATAATTATGTTGGTGAAAAAATGGCATTGTCATTTATTGAAAATAGTTTATTTTCTCCCTTTTTCATCTTCGCTGGATCAGAATATATGACATACAATTTTTTTGTAATAGTAAACTGAATGCATCTTAATTCTTTACAAGCACATGACATGATTCCTCTTATATGAAATATTTTCACTTTATCATGAATTTGCCAAAGATTGGTAGGAATTAGTTATTTCTGTTAAGATATCTGAAACTCTGTCAGGAACATGCATGTTGGAGAATACTGATTTATTCCTGGCAAGTACTTTCAATGATTTGATGACCTTGAGGGTGCTGTCATATTAATCTGCGAAGCCTCTTCTTCAGTTTCCCAGATTAATCAGTTACAACTGTTGACATTTTCTGTGGGCTTGAGGAGAGCAACTAAAAATGTGTTAACAATTTTTTATGCTGTTCTGTTTTTTTATATCCGTAAAATTTTCAATTTCTAAACAATTTAGCCTTTTAATTTTAATTAGCTCCCACCTACCTCTGCTATCGCCTACCCCCTACCAACCTGTCCGCTCAGCGGGATCCAGCTTGTTTCACATCCCCCGTCTTGCCCGCCTCACCATTGGTGGGCGGACCTTCTGCCACTCTGTCCCCACCCTCTGGATCTCCATCCCGCAGTCCCTCCACCTCACCCCCCTTCCTTGCCTCCTTCAAGACCCATCTTAAGACTCTCCTCTTCGACCGTGCTTTCGATCACCCTCCTTCCCACTCTGCTCTCCACCCTCCTTATTTCCGACCCTTGTGAAAATAAACCAGTCTTAGCTGTGTTTGCATACAATAGAAACTTGATGCAGTATTAAATCCAGTCAATAGACTGACTTATTCTGTCCTTATCGGTTAGGCAGGTACCTTATTGGTGAGTTTTAGATTTTGGTCACAATTGTGTTCAAATACAAACAAAATGGCCTTAAAGAGTGTCCTAAATTGATCATTAATCCTTTCAATTGATATAGTGCCTTATCACATAAACAAAACGTCTACTGTAGGGTATAGTGCTTGTGTATTTGTAGGCAAATGGATTAGTCAATTTGCACGCAGTATACCCCACAAACAGCCATGCCATGAATGACTAATTTTAACTTGGCCAATGATACTAGGAGAAATTCCGTTCTCTTTTGAATGGTACCATGTCTCACCTGAAGAATGGTACCTCCAATAAAGCACTCACCCAGCAATGTATGTGTCACCCTAGATTATGAATTCAAAGTCCTGACATGGAACTTGAACCTGCAACTTTATGACTCAGGCGAGAGTGCTACCAAATGACCTAGGCTGGCATCCAATAGTGAGTTACCCAAAAGGTGTTGTTCTTCTCTATTTCAATCATGTTCAGCATGTTGTTAGATATGTGAGTTCTTATCTATATTTGTACTGGAGTTTGTTTTTCTTTTCACCCTTTGATGAACAAGAAAGTAGGCAGATTTATGACCTACTCTCACATCTTTGCTAACGTCATTGTAACCAGGATCCAGAAACTGTGTGTGACTAACCCTCAGAGGTCAACCACCCTCCATCTCACAATATACATAAATTGAGATCTGGAACATGCTGCTTGTGAAAAGCATGGGCAGCAAAAGCATGTTACTAATGCATGTCACAGCACATTAATACACCAGAGCCCAATCTCGTATGAAATGTGACTTCCATCAGTCCACTTTTTTTCTTTTTTTTTGAACATATATATTTATTTATAAATATATTTAGTATAACAGAAATCCAAAACAAACACATCTTCTGGCACAATTTTTCCCTTCCTCCCGATACAAAAACAATTCCGTTGTTTACCGTACATTCCTTCACTGTGCAAAGGTTATGCACACACTCTTTTGGGATGCTCTCTTTAAACAGTCAGGAGTAGCCCCTATGTACACCACATCCACGTGTGCATTTGCTTTCCACACTAGAGCATCTGAAAGCCAGGAATCCATGCATATCTAACTGCCAGAACATCCACATCTCTAAGGGTTTCATCCATTGCCATTACACTAACAGGTCCTTTTCGACCCTCAAATGTCCATCATCCACCACATCTGTGCCATGACCCACACCGCCATTGCCCAGCTCCACCACTCTCTTTCACCACAGGCCATCGAGCCCCTCATCCATGTGTTCATCACATCCAGGCTCGACTACGCAAACTCCCAGCTTGTTGGCCTCCCCAACTCCTCCTTCCACAGGCTGCAGATGATCCAGAACTCTGCAGCACGTGTCCTCTCCCACACAATGCGCCATGACCCTATATCCCCATCCTCGCCCAGCTCCACTGGCTTCCCATCACTCAGAGGATACAGTTCAAGGATCATGGTCCTCACCTTCAAAGCCCTCCAAACAGAAAATTCAGTAAAGCAGCTTTATGTATTATTCATTCATTTTGAACTGCAATCTTATCTTTATCTACCCCAAAGGCATTGCTCTTCTAAATTATTGATAAACACTTTCATCAGCACACCCTCAACCCAGCTGGTTATATCTCCCTCTGCTGCTCCTGGTCAGGTACAGTAAGAGACATGGGAATTTGGCAGTCTCTCCCTACATCACAAGTTGCCCGGGAAACAGGGTTAAACTACGGGTAAATAGGAACATGTAGCTGCAGTCTGCTCATTGCCAGTGTTGAAGATAGTGAGAGTGACAGAGATTATGGAGTGAATCCAATGCTACATATACGTTAATTGGTAGGGATTTAAATTATCATTTTTATATAATAATAATCCTTGCATTTGATATAGCACTTTTCATGTCTTCTCGACGTCTCAAAGAGCTTCACAGAATAGACTGTAAAGTGAACTGACCGTATATTTGTGGGCGAAACGCAACAGCCAATTGCGCACAGCAGTGTCCCACAAACAGTTGTGGATTGAAAGTGACCAATTTATTGTTGTTTTTATTTTTGGAGGGATTATTATTAGGCATGTGGAGTAAGGAAACTTGCCCAAGGTTTTGCCCTGCCTGGAATTGA